AATTATTTGATTGGACAATGCTAAATGGATTGGCATTTCAATGTGTTCAGCTACCTCTTTGTTCGAACAAGACAAAGACCGGTCTGGTCTCGTCTTTCGTCTTACATTTTCCCCTTTTTTGAGTATGGTTAAATATATCTGCTTTGCTTTGCTTTGTTTGAAAAAGCAGGTTAGAAAGCAAAGTAGCCTTAATCACAGGAGGTGCAAATGGGATTGGCAAGGCCACCGCCTTTGAGTTCATCAAAAATGGAGCCCAGGTCATCATTGCAGACATCGATTCCCAAATAGGCCCACAAGCTGTCACCGACCTTGGCCCCTCAGCCCAATTTGTGCACTGTGATGTGGCCATTGAGTCCCAAGTAGCAGAAGCTGTAGAAATTGCCATGGCCCATCATGGAAAACTGGATATAATGTTCAACAACGCGGGCATAGCAGGCCGGATTTTCCCAACCAGCATTGCAGACCTTGACCTAGACGAATTTGATAGGGTAATGCGGATCAACGTTCGAGGCGTGATAGCAGGGATAAAGCATGCAGCCCGAGTGATGGTTCCAGTGGGCTGCGGCTCCATTCTTTGCACGTCAAGCATTTGTGGGATTATGGGTGGGCTTGGATCACATCCATACACAACAGCAAAATCATCCATCCATGGAATTGTCAAGTCTGTAGCTAGCGAACTATGCCGAAGTGGGGTGAGGATCAACTGCATTTCACCAGCTCCTATTCCAACTCCAATGGTGGTAAGTCAAATCGCTCAAATATACCAAGGTGTACCGAAACAAAAGGTAATTGAGATTATAAACGGGATAGGGGAGCTGAAAGGGGCCAAATGTGAAGAGATAGATGTGGCAAAGGCTGCATTATACTTGGCCTCAGACGAAGCCAAGTATGTAACAGGCCATAACTTGGTTGTTGATGGAGGGTTCACCAGCTTCAAGAATCTTAGGTTTCCTTCTCCATCCTGAACATCTTGTTTAATATCATCATCATCATCCTTTTCGTTTTGCTTTCTTCTTTTGATTATATGTCATCATATTAAATTAGCTTTTGTTTGATTTGAACTAAGCTATATATAGGGCTTATTTGAGTTTGTTTGATGTAAAGGGCTCCACACTGAAACTGAAATATCAGCAAATTAAATTAAGCTGCTGGGAAGACTTACAAAAGAAAGGCATGCCTTTGGACCTATATATATAAGTCAAATATCAGAAACATTAATGGAATTCTTTTTATCACTACCTATATATATATATATATATATATATCCATTGAAAGAAAGAAGAAACACCAATTATCTATCTCTTGTTTGCAAAAATTACAGTTATATAAGCCCGTTGGATGCATACTAGATAAGAGGCTCAATCTTTTTGGTATGTAAGAAATCACAATCTAAAGATAAAAAAAAGGTTACAAGTGTTGAAATTCAAACTCCAGTCTTACCGGTGTTATCACTTAAAAATGATTTGATGAACCAATTGAATATGCTAAAAATGATAAAAGTTAGTTCTCCACATTTTATTTACTTACTAAAGGTGTAACCCAAATATTAATTATCCTTACCCCACACAATACCTTGGAACAATATTTACTCTATGTTTTGCCAAGAAAATTGCCGCTATATATATATATATATATATATATATATACAGTCCCATTTTATTCTTGCAGATATATAGCTACTCTCTTTTTCAAATTTTATTTATCCAATCCAATTTTAATGACTATATTTATATTTGGTTTTGTCTGGCATATGATCGCTTTTCCTCCTTTGGTTTCTAGCATCATTTTGAGTATGCCTCTGATTCATTGAACTTCTCCTCTGGCAAAATTTATAAGCCATTGGCTGTAATACTTTAAAGATTTGAATTATTTAAATGGGCGGCAGTTTGAATATATATATTTTCATGATAAAAAGTGAATTAACGAGCACCAAAGGTCTAAAACCAAAAGGGAATGTTCACTAACTAGGTTCTTTGATGCCATTGTTTCTTTCTCCAAACATAAGCTCTCTTTCTCTCTCTCTCTGGTATTAATTTCTTTCTATAATAAAGGGGAGTTCATCTCCCTAGCCTTTATGTCCAACTTGCGCTACCTAATTACGGTTATTCTTTCCAACAAAACGATAGGCATATTTATGTTAAAAGGAGGGATTGGATGTTGGGCTATGTATGGTTCACATTCACCGTTTGAGGGGATTCTTTGTCAAAGCAATAATCTTGATTGCTTGCAATATCCTTACAATATGCATTTCCGAAATTCCACCATCTACTATAATAATGTTTTTTATAGAAGTCGTATATCCATAACCTGTTTGTGCTGGTTATAGAACATGTTATTTAGCAGATCAGTTGGTTCCTTGGGTAATTAAGACTATAGCTTTTGATTGAAAACCCTGAGGCATTTCTTTTCCTTTTATTACAAGGGATTCCATCATTTAGTAAATCTTATCATTGATGCTGTGAGCATAATTTTTTTTTCAATTACCTACCTTACCACTGCTAGATATTAATTAGTATTCATTTATAGATATGGTGCTTGAATATATAAATATAAATATATATATTCATAAAATTGAAGAGACAAGGATAATAAGATTGAAATAGTTTAAAGATATTGGAATATATATCCTAAAACTCACCAAGGAACAGCCAATAGGCAATAGCCATAGGGATAATTGAAGGATGTAGATTGCGAGCCTTAATTTTTGAGCTAAAAGAATTACCCTCTATATATTAATTAATAGCATATGGTCCCACGGTTTGGTTTGCCTTTGGTTAATTGAAAGCATATATATATATATATATATATATCAATCGGGAAATTAATTTACTTTTTTTTTACGAGTTTTAAAGTTGAAACTAATTGTAAACTTTGATAATTACAGAATGCATGCATCGCTAGGGTGGGCAAAATCACCCGAACCCGTCGGGTTTCGACCCGACCCGACCCCTTAGGGTCGGTTTTTTTTTTTTGAAAATCGGGTATCGGGTCGGGTAGGGTCGGGTAGAGTCAAAAAAATTTCGGGGTCGGGTCGGGGTCGGGTTTTAAGCAAACCGACCCTACCCGACCCGATATATATAAAAAATTTATTTTTTTAATTATTTTTAAATTTTACATTTAATTATATATATTTTTATATATATTTAATTTTATATTTATATTTAAAATAATATTTTATTAATTTCGGGTCGGTCGGTCGGATTTGATTTATACACTGTCGGGTCGGGTCGGGTTCGGGTATTAAAAATAAAAAAATTTTCAGGTCGGGTACGGGTACGGGTATTGTATATTTAAAATCGGGTCGGGTTCGGGGCGAGCAAAAACCCGCCCCGACCCGACCCGTTGCCATCCCTGTGCATCGCTCATAACGTGAATGGAGGTATTAATTATTAAACCCTCCGTATCTCCTCTATCAAACATTTGTGTAAGAAATTAAGATAGCTATGAAAACTTTATAGGGGATAGCAGTTCACATGTCGATAGGGGAGAGGCTAAGGCAAAGGCAAAGGCAAAGGCAAAGTTGCAAACGGCCAATTTGAAAAACAAATAAAGGGCGGGTACAGTACAAGCAAGCATTTGTAGTATTGCATGGAAAGCCGTGGGACCCATGGTTTTGATTAGTCAGTTTCTCTTGATTAGTTGCATGTTTGCCACGTGTTCTTTCGTGTTGTTATCCATGTACTTGTAGTTTTCACGTGAAGAGACAGGCTCAAAATCTTAAGTTAATTTGTTGAAAGCTGAAACTCTGCTTCGCTTTCCCCTCCTCACTCTTCGTCTTCGGTCTTCTGATCCCTCGATTCTGGAGTCTGGTCCGCTTACGGAAGTTGGCGAATGGCAAAAGCAGAGAAAACGGTGCAGTCAGTTTTGATGTGCTAACCAAAATCTAAGTTAACTTAAACCATCATCAATGTTCTCTAGATAAATAGAGATGGTGGGAGAGAAGTGTAATATTAATGGAACGAGAGATTTGAATGAACGGGAAGGAAGTTGGAAAAAAACCAAAAAAAAGTGAAGGGTTGATTGGGGAGTAGGTGTGGTGAGGGGAAAGGAGATCACGAGAAACTTGGGTTTTGTTTTAAAAAATTTATTCCCAATCAGGTGTTCCATGGCAAATGAAATGCAAATGGCTTTGCTATTTGAATAGGGAAAAGGAAAGAAACCACGGCGCCCAATTTGAATGGTAGTAGTACCAGTAATTAAGAGCAATATTAAGGCAGGCAATGCTTACTTTGGAAGTGTTATTATGTATATATCTCACTTGCTTATAATTGATTCATAAGTTTAACTCAATTGTGACCACATGCAACATGCAAGTTACAATCTGATGACCCACTTTTTCCTTTGCAGCAAAGGAAAAATTAGAAAGGGAACATTTGGGGTTAGAATTAACGTTTGGTGGGTTTTGAATCTAACAAAAATCCCGAGTGATCAATATACTTATCAGTTCTTCTCTTCGTATCCCGGCCCTTTTTAACTGCATGATGATATTCTTTGTTTCTCTCATGAGTTGATTCAATTCGCACGTCTGATATCTTTCTGAAAGATTAGGGCCGACATTAAAAAAGAGGTATAGTAGCAGATATGTGATTTCATTAAATACACAGGATCTATCATTGAACTCTCTGTTCCATTTATCAGCCAGCTAGCTAGCTAGCTAGGTTTTGAAATTAAGGAAGCAGAAATTCAATTTCAAATTACTTAGTTAATAGTCTTTTAATTTCACCTCAAGAAGTTTAATTAGATTAGGAATTTAGGATTTAAGCTATAAAAAACTCTTTTAACTTAATTTGAATGTTCAATTTGAGTTCTTTCGAAACTAGCTAACTAGGCAAACATTTTTATATATATGTAGTGACTTGAATGATAATAAAATTCATGCATGTTGGATCAGAAATGACTACAAGTTAAGATTTCCTTGTGAGTAATAGCTAAATTATTATTGCTACTTGATTTAAGTTTCTAGCTTTTTTCCTCAACCATGTCTAGTTTTAAATTTGGATGCTCATTCGTTACGGTTACTGATGGTATTCATCGTCTTGTACACCAAATATAATTAAACTTACAAGTTAAGAAATAGAAACTCCAAACAGAATATTGGACAGAAAATAAAATAAAAATAAAAAGACATAATCAAGCAAGTAGCGCAGACCGGTCTCCATTCATTTACCTGAGAGAGACTGAGTTGAGTTACGTGAGTACATTAGTAACGTTCAAATTTGCAATCTCTCTCCTTTCCCCCAATATATATGATGCTCTGCTGAAAACATACTTCACTTTTCTCTCCTTTCTCTCTCTCATTTCCCATTTCTTCTTCCCCTGCTGTATCGCTCTCTTTGAAACCAACAAATTATATAAAAGAGAAAAAGCTGAGAGCTTGAGACTTGAGAGTAAGAGAGATGGTCCTTGAAGCTAACAGCCTTGTTTGGATGGATGGAGAAGAGGAAGAAGATGCAGTTTCTTCTTGGACCCGAAACAACAGCTGCAGCGGCAATAATGAATTTGAGACTAAAGAAGACGACTTGGCTATTTCAGCTGCTTCTCTTTCCACCTTCAAATCCATGCTTGACACTGATTGGTATATGAACCCAGCTATGAACCCGGAGCTTCAAATCAGAGAGCTTGGTTTCTGCTCCAACCAAGTTGATGACAATCTCCTCATTCACCAGCAAATTGATTCCTCTGCTTCTTGTTCTCCCTCACAGGCCTTCACGCTTGACCCTTCACACTCACACCCTTTCTTGCCTCCTAAATCTTGCTTTTCTTCTCTCCTCAACGTTTCCTGCAACAACCTTTTTGATAATGCCTTTGATTTCTCCTCCGAAACTGCTTTTCTCGCTCAGTTTCAGCCGAATCAAAACCCGAATTTGATGGGTTTTCCTCACAGTCAAATCTGTACCCCTGAGTTCAGTTCGAGCTCCGACTTTCACTGTACAAGGTTGCTCACAGGAACTGGAAACGCTTTTTCTTTGGGTAGTGCGTTTAGTGCTGGTGGTTTTGACGGTTTTGATGGATTAGGGAATGCTATGTTTATGAACAGAGCAAAGATTTTGAATACCCTTGAAGTTTTCCCTTCTCAACCAACTTTGTTTCAGAAGCGAGCAGCGATGCGGCAGGGCTCTGTTGGGGCTGATAAATTGGGGAATTTGGATGTTTCAGGGCTGAGATTAGGAGGGGAAGTGTCGCACGGGAAGAGGAAAAGGCATGAGGAGGGGGAGATTGAGGAAGCTAGCATCGATGTGTCGGGACTGAATTATGATTTTGATGAGACGAATGATGATTGCAAAGTGGATGAGAGTGTGAACAATGGCGGTTGCAATTCAAATACAACTAGTACTGTCACTGGTGGTGTTGATCAGGGGAAGAAGAAAGGGATGCCGGCAAAAAATCTGATGGCGGAGAGGCGGAGGAGGAAGAAGCTCAATGATAGGCTTTACATGCTTAGGTCTGTTGTGCCCAAGATTAGCAAGGTATATTACATATGAAATTCTTAGGGAATAAGTTATTTTAAACTAGCATTTTCTTTTGTGGTCTTTTTGGTTTGTTCATGTTATAGGTATACAAAGTTAGAATCTCGATATGTGGAATTTGCTCGAGTCCCAAATTGAATGCTTTGTCACCAACATGCATACTTAATTTTAGTTTTTTTTTCCTCCTTTGCTTTTAAGATTACGTATACTTAATAACTGATTGTGATTATGGTTGTAATGGGGTGATTTTAGTTAGACGTGTAATACGTTGGTGTTCCTTTAATTGAAACTGGTGTTCATGACAGTTACTCATTGTGCTTATTATGCCACAGATGGATAGGGCTTCAATACTCGGGGACGCCATTGATTATTTAAAGGAGCTTCTGCAAAGGATCAATGATCTTCATACTGAACTTGAAGCCACTCCACCTGGCTCTTTGATGCCACCATCTACAAGTTTCCACCCGTTGACACCAACCCCATCTACCCTTCCATGTGGTGTCAAGGAAGAGCTATGCCCCAGCTCATTACCAAGCCCTAAGAGCCAACCCGCTAAGGCAAACTTTTGGACCTAAAAGTTTACTTATTTTTTCCTTTTCGGTTTCCTACTTATTTGCTGAGTTTTTCTACAATTGCTTGATTTGCTTAATTTCTCTGAGAAACCGATTTTATTACTTAAAAGTCCTTTTACCTACCAGGCAAAAAATTTGACATGCATGATAAATTTGAATATCTTTAAGAAGAGAGGAGCAAAAGATGGATGCATGTGTGTTCTTTTCTGATAGTGATTTGCATGATATGAACTGGACAAATAAGTTAATATTGAGTTAGCATATTGCATAAAGTTGTACTCTTTCTAATTGACTATGGACTGGTAGACTTTCAAATTATTTGTGTTTAAAGTTGATTTTGGAAAGTTAACAGTGCCCTGTTAAACCTAAGCAATAAGTTAGTTCTTATGGATGTACTTGCATGAACAATAGGGAACAATGTTTCATTCATTTATAGTTACAACATATGCTCATCTAACTTTGGTAGGTTTTGAGTTTGTTGATGGACCTTATCATGAAAATTTGAATACTTTATATTGGAAAATATGATAGACTGAGGATGCTGAAGTTTTTATTTTTGAGCTTTTTGTTTGTGTTCTTTTTTCTCATATCATTGATTATTTTCTTGTCTTCTGATTATAAATACCCAGGAGCTTCTTGATTGTTATGATGTGGTATTTTCTTTCCTGGATAAATGATATTTGATTCATCCAAAGAAGTAGGCAAGCCTACTAGATTGAAAACATCTACACTAGGCAGCACATTTGGTTTAACAGACAGTAATTACAACAAAAAGAATCAAAAAAGTAATCGCTAAAACAAGCATATCTTTCTCCAAAATAATAAGCATCCTGTTGATATAGTCCCCTGCAATACATGGAGTCTTAATCAAACAGCCTCTTTGATTTGATACACACACACATATGGACAGACGTATGCTTGCCAAAAACTTTAACCAGGTCGTGTCAATGTAACTTGTGTACAGACCTTGCTGTTTTCCTAAACGTTTTGAGCAATAAATCAAGTAAACTTCTATTTCTGCAATTCCCAGGTGGAGGTTAGGGTAAGGGAAGGAAGGGCTGTCAACATTCACATGTTTTGTGCTCGCAGGCCAGGTGTCTTGCTCTCCACTATGAGAGCTCTGGACAACCTTGGATTGGATATACAACAAGCTGTAATCAGCTGTTTCAATGGGTTTGCACTGGATGTGTTCCAAGCTGAGGTGCATTTCTTTCTTCCCTTGTCTTCTTCTGCTTCTGGTGATTTCCATTCAAAGATCAATTTTAATTTGCACGTCTACCCAACAGATTATATATATATATATATATATATATATGTTCTTCTCATATGATTGCAACTAACATATCTGTAACAATTTTGATGAATGTGGTTTCTTTCCAAGCAAGCAAACAAAACCCCAGGCCCTCAAAAGACTTCTTTCTTGTGTTTAACTCTTGCAACTACAAAGAATGGCCCTTTATTGAAGAAATTAAGTTATTTTCTTTGTAGTTGAAAACGTGACCAGTTTGACTAAAGGCTAGTTCAAATAATGGTATAGACCATGAGTCAAAACCCTTGAGATTGAGGACTCTCTTCTCATAGTCCTGTTGCATATGATACTGACTAGTTGTACTATTTTGCACATGGGTAGGATTGAAGTAAGAATCATGGCCTTTAGTTGGACCTATGCTAGGCAATTTTCTGATACAAGTTTTTTTTTCTGTTTCCACAAATGTTTAAAACTTCTGATCCTGGCTCTCCCCTCTCTAAATATGCGTGTACGTACTTCTGAAGGTTAATTTAATGCTAATGGTTAATAAATGTTGATCTTATATTACTAAAGAATTACTCCCGAGATGAGTGTGAAGCCATTACCGGGATTCATCTGATTTGACAAAATAATAAAGGCCATGAAAGATTGCCACCAAGGAAACATAATAAAGAAAACTTGAGGAGAGAGGCTGGCACCTATCATTTGTATTACAAATCGTTATGTTAAGACACCAAGGTGTATTTTTTCTCTTAACTTCGGTTTCATAGTCCAGATTCAAGGATGATGCTTTACCAAATGGTAAATACTAAATAAAGACAGACTCAAGAGATTGTAACTTATTATTTAATTTGTTGTTTAACAGCAATGCAGGGAAGGGCAGGATGTGTTGCCTGAGCAAATTAAAGCAGTACTTTTGGATTCAGCAGGCTTCGATGGTATAATGTGACTTGAATAGCTTTATCTTATGAGCAGAAGCACTAACTGTAGTGTTATTAGGATGGGGTAGCTTGTAAGTTCAAATTGGTGAAGGACTAATTTCAAGGAAAATGAATGTTAAGGTTGTTGAGAGTTGTAGGTGGCGCAAGCAAGCATCTTTAGCAGATGTTAATTTCTTAGCAGTAGCATTTACTTAAGAAGTACAAGATTGTGATGGAGTTTTTCTTGGGAAATAAATCTCCATGTTTTCTACCTTGTATTTGATGCTGGGATGCATTTTTTTGTTATATTATATTATATTATTAGCTATGGTATGGATCCTTTTAATTCTTTTTTTCATTCAGGCTTTACTCCAATAGGATTTTGAATATTGATAGATAGGACTACTAGGAAAACATTTCTGGAATTGGTTGATGGCACCAAGGAAAGAATTGCCAATTATTGAGGCTGACTCGCTGCTCTAGCGGAACAGTGATTCAAACAAAAGGACCCAACTTTTGAAAAAGTTGCTACTGCTTTTCCTCATCGAGTCATTCATTGGTTATAAAACAATAAATAAATAGAATAGAAATTTTACTTTGAATGTTGGATTTTTTTTTTTTTTGGAAATTAGGAATATTTGTGTCACGTCTCAATATCAAGACGTAACACGGTCGTATTATCTTGAAAAAAAATTTAAAATAATACGAAGCTTTCTTCCTTAAATATTCTAAAATTCTTTCAATAAAACAATCTATTAAATAAAATTTATATTTTTAATCTAACTGATAATACATCTTTATATATTCAAATACAAATCATCTAAAATATAAAACTGTCTCTTGAAATGTCATTTGTCAACATATTTTTCGACGATTAAGTAATCTTATCCATTTCATCTTTTAGCTTTACACAAGACTAATCAAATTTATCAGTTAGTCATCTGTAAAGAAAAAGTAAAAGGGGAATGAGCAAACCACAGCTCAGTAAGTATAGGCTTACACACATTACCAGATCAAGCATCGTTCTTTTACACATAATATAGATCATTCAAAATATTCATCAAATTATAATATCAGAACATTTCAAGATCATCGTTTTGTCAAATATTTCATAAATTCATAAATTAATATCAAAATATATCACTTCATAAATCATTGCAAAATATGCTATCATTCAAATATCATAATCAAATCAAATCATGAATCAATTATTAAAATCATCGTAAATCATTCATTTATCATTAGCTACGATCACTGCTATAACCCGTGACATTGACCGTATCGACAATTTCATTCTCATGATTATTGCTAACTATTATAACCAGTTAGCCAGGACTTACGCTAACTACTATTACCCATTAGCCAGGATCGTATGATCATGTCTTTGCTAACTACTATTATCCGTTAGTCAGGGTCGTAGAACTAGTATGGTGTCGATGATCTCACTTTTCAGGGATATAAAAACGTAGCTATCACAAAATCATTCTTTAAACATAAATTATTTTCTCATTTCATTCATAAGCATGATCCAGCATTTACATAGCGAAAACACAAAATAATCATATGCTTGATCCTATTTTCATACATCTAAAATAAAGAAATAAAATATTCATTCATTTAGAAACATACATATATACATAGATTCAAAAACAAGCAAAATGTGTGAGATTTTACTTACTTCCATTCGATTCCACCATTTAATTTTTCTCTCAAAATAATTAATAGCCTATCCAAGATCATTTCAACATATCAGAATTTAATCAACCCTTTTTGAGATCATTTATACAAAAATCAACTAAGTTACACAAAAGATTAACTTAACTAATTAATACTGACAGCCTGACCTCTTTTCATTAAAACAGTCAATATATCCAAATCAAAATTATGATCTCTTTAATGCGTTAGAAACTAGACTTGATAAGCTTTCTAACCATATATGAAAAATCTCGTAATTCCTTGTAGATTAATTATAACAATTTTTGAAATCGACGTCATATACTGCTGTCAAATAACCTGTATACCTTTTAATAAAAATTATATATTTATTCACAGGAAACTCCAAATTCAATTCCGCTTATTTCATTGGAAAGTAGACTCAACAAGCTTTCCAAACATATATGGCTTAATCTGTAAATCCTTGTATACAAATTAAGAAGAATTTCGTAATTCAACCCTGATGTTGTTGTCTTACAACCTACATATCCTTAAGTTAAAATTAGACAACTCTTCGTAGAAAACTCGGATTTGACTTTCGTTTGTTTCATTAGAAACTAGATTCAACATGTTTTCCAATGATATATAATAATCACAGCAATAATCTATCTATTAATACAAAATTCTATTTTAATTCAGTATTACAGATCACAACATCTCATCCAAAAATAGAATTTCTCCTTCAATCTTTAAAAAAACTCAAATCCTTACTTTTAGCCTTCAAACTCCACTCAATAATCATCAATAAATCTTAAGAACATGAAATAAACAAAGTCCAGTAATTTACCTAAATAGATCATCAAGATTAATGAAGGATTTCATGATTTTTTTTTGTTTTTCTCTCAAAATTTCAACTCCAAGTAATAGCAATCAACTTGATATTTCTTTTCAAATAAAAAGAAGGCATGTACTCAACTTTAAGAGATTAACTTAATTGTAGCCTCTGATTATGAATCTCTAATTTAATTTTTTATATTTTCTAACCCTAAAGAAGATGAAGAAGAATTTTATTTTTTTTCTATTTCACCATAGATAGATTTTCTTTCATTTAATACTTTAATTTTTTTTATTAAATAATGTGTTAATAAATTTATGAGCTTTAGTATTAATCTAATCCAATTATTATTTTAGCTAAGGTATTACAATTGGAGAGTTGAATTAACGTAGAATGGTGTTGGATACTGACTTAAAGCTCAATTACTTGTTTGTTGTTGAATTAATGAAAGTTTCGTAATTTTCTAAAAAGATAATGAAAGAGAAACGTGTTTTGCTTTTTCTTTCGTTATTGGTTTGTGAAGAAGAAAAAGACAAAAGAAGGATGTGGAAATAGGGGGCGTCAAATCAGCAATACTAGTCTAAGTAAACGGCAGCCATAGGTGCGAATCTACGTGCGCCCAGCAGCAGTTCGCAACCGGCGACACATTGGTCCGCATCGGCTTCAACTTTCTAAACCCCATTTATTTTATTTAATTTTAAGAAAAGAAGTCACTTTCAAAATCAATGCGCCACGGTCGAACAGGTTGCCCCATTGCCGTAAGATCAAATTAAAGTACCTGAGATTGCAAATCTTGACCATCCATTTGCATTAAGAACCAAAACAGGGGGGAGGGGGGGACTGGGAAGGGTTCCGACAAAGAAAAAAAAAAACTTACGTCGCTTTATATTGCTGTGATCAAACAGAGGAGGGAGGCGGCGGTCTTTGCTCTCTCCCGTTCTTCTCCTCCTTCTTCGCTATTTCCTCTCAAATCTCTGAATAAAAAATCCTCTTTTTCTTTTCCATTTTTTGAGACCCAAATCCAAAGGTATGCATTTTTTCTCTCTTTTTTTTTTTTTTCTTAAATGTTGTAGTTTTCTCATTTCTGTTTCTCAGCCTGAAATGGATGCCAAAATGGAAACTTTTTCTTTTTTCTTTTTTCTTTGCTTTCACACTGTTTTTGTTTTCTATGGTTTTGTAATCAGATCTTTGGAGAATTTATATTTTTGGTTCATTATTCGTCGAAATAACTAGTTAGCGGGATCCGTTGAGTATGATGGCAGCTTCGTTGCAATTTTCTGGTGTGAAAACGCCACCGTCTCATTCGTTTCCGAAGCAAAGTTCTTTACAGTTCCAATCGGCATTGCCAAGTCAGCTTCATTTTGCTGCATTTTGGTCTGCAAATTCTTCTAACTTATGTAGGACTCTAAGACATTGTTGTAAAAGTAGAGTCTTTAAAGTTAGTTGCCAAGGAGGGGATGTGGATGTGATTGAAAGGAATGAGATTGAGAAAGCAGGTTTCAGAGAAGCAGAGAATCAATTGACGTGTGTAATGAAGTTCGGTGGATCGTCAGTGGCTTCTGCTGAGCGAATGAGAGAGGTTGCTGACCTTATACTTAGTTTCCCCAATGAAAGGCCAGTCATTGTTCTTTCTGCTATGGGAAAGACAACCAATAAGCTTTTGCTGGTAATATTCTTTTTTTAATTTGGATTTTATTATTATTATTTTTTATCCATTAATCTCTTGGACTGTACAACTACGAGGGTTTACAAAGAAGTTGGTTTTTGGTTTGATGATTAGGCTGGTGAAAAGGCTGTTAGCTGTGGTGTCACTAATGTAGATACTATTGAAGAGTTGAGATTTATAAAAGAGCTGCATCAAAGGTAAGAGCAAGGGAAAGAATTTCCTTTTTTTTTTTTTTTTGCAGTCGTGCTTTTTGGTTGTAAAGATAAGGGGTTCTGATATAAAGTTGATATCTCTTATCTTCAATTTTAATGCCCAGGACGGCTGATGAGCTTGGAGTGGACAGGTCGATTATTGATGGTGAGTTTATAATCTGCTCTTGAGTTGAGATCAATTCTTCTTTATTTTTAACATCAAGAAACTTTTTGCTTCGTTCAGTTTCACATTGATGTCTCTTCTTCTGTTCTTTTAGTTTAGACTTACTTACGATGGTTTCTGTTTTTCTTTTTTTCATGAAAAACCCTTTTCAGGGCACCTAGCAGAATTGGGGCAGCTCTTAAAGGGAATTGCTATGATGAAAGAGTTAACATTACGAACGAAAGACTATTTAGTTTCATTTGGGGAGTGCTTGTCTACGAGGATTTTTGCAGCATATTTGACTAAAATTGGTGTTAAGGCCCGTCAAGTATGTTTTTTGTCTTCTTTTTTCACGTATCTGGAATTTGTGGGTAATTTAACCAATTATTTAACCTTCATAAAGAAAACTACTTTGGAAAGCATTCCCAGAAGTATGTTTCCTAACTCTAAAGTTGAATTTCTTTGTGGTTCAGAATACAAATTAGCATTGATTAGGACACTTGACTTCTCCATGCTTTATTTTAATCACATTTATGCATGGTAATGTATTCTCTGTATTTCCTCATAACTGCCATCATAAGGAGTGCAAACCATAAGTCAGTCCTGTTTTGCAGTATGATGCCTTTGAAATTGGTTTCATTACCACTGATGACTTCACCAATGCGGATATTCTGGAAGTAACTTACCCAGCTGTTGCAAAAAGATTAACTGATGATTGGATCAGTGATCCTGCAATCCCGATTGTTACTGGTTTCCTTGGAAAGGTATAACAGCTGCTAATATCTTATTGAAATGATTTCATTCTTAAACAAGAATTTCGTTGGGGGGGGGGGGGTCCTTAGGTAACGCTTTTTATCTTGTTAACTTCTGATTGTAGGGCTGGAGATCTTGTGCGATTACTACTTTAGGTAGGGGTGGTAGTGATTTGACAGCCACAACCATCGGAAAAGCATTGGGGTTGCGAGAAATTCAGGTCAGTGCATGTGTTCAAGGTCTGAACGTGTATAAGTCATATATCTGCTGATGCACGAGGATAGCCAGTGCCCTTTTCTTTCTTATCCTTTTGTTGGGATGGATACCATCTTTTTCATATTCAACAAGCATCTATATGTGCAAATGTACTGTGGACCAAAAGTTGTAGCAAAAACAAATACTCACACAAGTTTATACCCTGTTTCCAGTTAATGTACCTTTTTTATTCTTGAACAAAGTATAACAGTATTATTTTGTTCATTACAGGTATGGAAAGATGTTGATGGTGTTTTGACCTGTGATCCTAACATATATCCACGTGCAGAACCTGTCCCATATCTGACATTTGAAGAGGCAGCTGAACTTGCTTACTTTGGTGCTCAGGTACTATGTATTAATATGCTGCTTTTGTTTTCCTCTTTTTTTTTGTTAGTAACTATCAAGTTCTGGTGAACAACACATACATACATCTGTGTGTGTCTTTGCTTTTTTGTTCTATTCTTGGAGGTAGTGCAATTATCATTTAATTGATCGAAGCATGGCTAACTGAGTGAATTTGGATGGTCATCATGCCCTTCTTCAGGTTCTGCATCCACAATCCATGAGACCAGCTAGAGAGGGTGATATTCCTGTTAGGGTTAAAAATTCTTATAATCCTAATGCTCCAGGAACTCTCATCACTGGGAATAGAGATATGAGTAAGGTTTGTTGCAGTTGATTGCTTGCTTGTGTTCTTTAATGAAATCTGAACTGCTTTAATCATTTTTTTCCTAATTGCAGGCAGTACTCACCAGCATTGTTTTGAAAAGGAATGTCACCATGTTGGATATTGTCAGCACACGCATGCTTGGTCAATTTGGCTTTCTTGCGAAGGTTGGAAAGCCATTCTTAATTTTAATGCTCTTTGTCCATTTGGTTTTTCTATTGTGCAATTGATTTGTATCTTTTTATCTGTGCAGGTATTTTCGATCTTTGAAGAGTTAGGCATCTCAGTGGATGTTGTAGCTACTAGTGAAGTCAGTATTTCCTTGACTTTGGATCCTTCAAAACTTTGGAGCAGAGAGTTAATTCAGCAGGCAAGCGTATGATGCCATACTTCATGCTTTAATTGATATTATAATGCAAAAAATTTTATACTTGATCTGCAGAATGATTCTGAATCATTTCCACTTTTTGTATATTTTCTCTTGACAGGAACTTGACCATGTTGTAGAAGAACTTGAAAAAATTGCCGTTGTCAATCTGCTTCAGCGCAGATCCATCATTTCTCTCATTGGGAATGTCCAGAGATCCTCACTTATACTGGAGAAGGTACTCCTGTCCTGTCATCTTCTGTCATATTGCTTACAAAGAAGCTCAAAACTTTTTAATAGTCTTCTAGTTTGATTTAAATAGATTCAGAGTAAGCAAACATGGAGCTTGTCTTTACTGCAAGTTCCAGGGGGTCTTTGCTGATTATTTCTTGTATTTGTAGGAAGTCTTTGTTTCCATGTGTCTGTTTTCTCTGGCTTCAGATAATATACTGTCAAATCACTGCCATTGGGTGTCAATCTTGTTTATGATTTTTTTTTTTTTGGTATTTATTGATAATTGAATGTGGTGACAGGCATTCCATGTTCTTAGGACCAATGGAGTTAATGTTCAAATGATCTCTCAGGGTGCATCTAAGGTCTCTCCACAACTTTTTTCTTTCAGTTTGTATTTGCATGGTTGATATTTAATTACTAATGCTCCATTGCTCTCTTTGGCATCAGAGCCCTAGCTTGGGCTTGCAAACATCATTAAAAGTGACCTTTACATATGTTTACTGCCCTGGAGCTGCCACTTCGTCTGCTTGATGAAAATATATCTTTTTTTTTTTTTTTTTGCAATATTTCTTTCAGAGGACTTTATCAAAGCACCATTCCATGTGACCCATCTTTATATGAAATATCAAACTAGATATTTAGTACCACTGGGCTGCCACTCTCTATCCCAGATCAGAATACAAAAATTTCCTTAAAATCTGTGCCTATAGGCTCCCATTTTTATACGATATAGAGGTGTTTGGGGAGGGAAGGCATAGTAATTGCGTTACTTCTGTACCCATGTGACTAACGGCTTCTGTTTTACTTCTTAGGTTAACATATCATTGATTGTACATGACAATGAAGCGGAGCAGTGTGTCAGGGCTCTTCATTCATCATTCTTTGAAAATGATCTCCCCGAATTAGATCAATGTGGCTGTGCAAACGGTTCTGCCAATTGATCAGAAATGTGCCATGCAATCCATATTCTTGATCCTAATTCATTTGATTTAATGATTTTAGACCCGTGCGGCTCTTGCTGCTACACAAAAATGAAGCAATTTAGGATATAGATATTTAATTGGTATGATGTACGCTATAAATGTAGGGGCATATATTGCCAGTGGTGGATGATTTACCATTTGTCATGTTGCTAGATATTCTTTATGAATTTATTGAAAAAAAAATTGCCGTTTATTCCATCTCAATTCTCTCCAGACATTTAGATTCATAAACTCGTTACAATTATCAAACCATTGATCACTGCTGCCTGTACCCATTCTTTCAATTGAGAATTTTTACTGCAGTTTTTTTTTCTTATTAAAGAGCATAAGCTTGGTTTCTTATCTTCAATTTTCACGCCATTATTATAAACTTCCAATGAAGAAGTAACCGAGAAGAAACAAAACAGTTTGTTGATCTGTTCTATCTTTGCATACATGAAGCATAAAACGACCAAGAAGAAGCAAAATCATCTCTAATGGACTAATGTGAGCCATTGACCTATTGGCCCAAAAGAGAACTAGTAAAATAGTAAAGCCCAGCAAGAATAAGGGCAAAAGGGTATATAAAAAAAAACAGCCATGGAGCTCTTGGAAAGTTTACTCCTCTCTGCAACCCAACAGCCCATTTCCTCTTCTTTCTTTCTTTTTAACTTGTCCTTCCAATTATCGACAATCATTTAGCAGTGTGAAAGGAGGTTAGCCTTCATTCTTTTACTCGCTTTTTCCTGTTCTCCTTTCTGTTCTTTCTCTGACTAAACTTTTGCCTTTTTTTCTTTATATTTTAGTTGAAAGAAATAAAACTCTGTTCATCAACTGCAAATTCGGCGGGGCAGAGAGAGGCAAGATGTTTGGGAGTATGATTCGGTACTTTTCGACGAAACCCAAGCCAAAAATGAAGCCAATCGAGCTGAAAACGCCACCAGAGCAAACGCAGACAATAACCAGAGTTATCTTTGACATTCTCAAGGAGCATGGCCCCCTCACAATTGGTGATACTTGGGAAAGGCTCAAGGTCTGTTCTTTTGTAGTCATCTTTGAAATTCACACACAACAGCAAGTCATTATGTTACCTACTAGTATAACGTTTTAATCGAGTTTGTTTGCTCAGTTTTATGGAGTATATAAATAAATAAATATATATATATATCTTTATGTTCTATTTTCACATTGAATTAAGCCAAGAGCCAAGTAAGGACCGTCGCAATTTCGTCGTTATTTCATCTTTCTGACTCCTTTCTGGGTGAAAGGTGTTTCTCTTATGTGTTAATTCAATGCATTATATCGTCTTTTAACAGAGTTTTACCTTGTAATATTTGAATATTAGATGTTTGTGCATAAGTATTAAAATAGTTATAACTTAACACTCTTGTATCATCGTGATACTTGCCTGTGAGGCTGTGACTGTGATAGCTTTTTTTTGGGGGTACCAAAGAATGTGGCAGCCTTTGAATTAAAGGTTTTATTGATGTAAAAATGTTTGCAGGAGGTTGGATTGAGAGGACTTACAAGCAAGAGGCACATGAAGATAGTGTTGAGATGGATGAGGGAGAGACAGAAGCTTAGGCTAATATGCAACCATGTGGGGCCTCACAAACAATTTCTTTATACAACTTGGTTTACTAAATCCAACATGAGGCAGGCAAGACCAGTGAATAATTCTTCAACGACTAGTTCGCCTGTCAATAATTCTTCATGTCCAAAGTCGCCTTGAGGTTGCAAGAGTACCGGCTTCAAGATATTTACTGTTTTTGCAACCCTGTAATACAATAATTTTGCTGTGAACTTGTAGAAACTTTGGGCTAAAAAATGCCTCAATTGTGAAGTGGCTCGTTCTCTTCTTCCAATTTATTTCCAGTTTTCATGTGCAAATTCCTAGTTCAATGATGTTGCTTATAATCATTTCTTTACTGGCCAATGCCTTCTTAGATTACACCACGCAGGCTGTAAAGTTGGCTCGAATCAGTGTTAAGTCTCAATGTCAGCGACTCCTTTTGCTCTGTTTTCACTTCTGGTTTCTTAAATGACACTTTATCTGTAACCAGCAATATTGAAATGCCCACGTTAACAAAAACACTTGTGAAAAGCCCCACATAATTAGTCACTCGGTGCGAGATAAGTTTTACCGCAGGATGAATAAACTCGGGAATCGCTGTGATATCATTACATATTTACCTTCTCAAAATAATTATCAAATGAATACAATCGTTCCCTAGCCTACACTATGAGCCCGCCAAAGTCATATATCTAATAAAGAGGTAACATCAAGCCAATCGACAAGGCCATAACCCCTCTACAAACTACCAATAATCCCCACAAGAGCAGATGCCATCCTTAAAATGGTGGAACCTGCTTGAATCCCTCACTGTGATTTCCCTTCTAACAATCTTTGAGATTACCTTGATTGCGGCATGGCAGTCTGTACATGCCCGTAAGTTCTTCATCACCAGTATTGGTGACCCTTCAGACGTACTCATCAGCGCATATGCAATTGCTAGCCGCTCACTGTGGTACTTAAGAGACTCAATTTTGATTTTCTCGTCAACATCATGAAGAGCACAACTTGTATCAGGCTTGTAACCTTCCTTTTCCATCTGTATTGAAAACATGTCAATCTTTTTCCGGATTTCCTCCATTTGAGGATGTAACATATCATTTGCTGAGAACACATGAACCTTGTGTCTTATTTCAACCCAGCTATATGCTGGAACCTTTCTAATTCCACGCTCCCTCATTGCCTTCTTTACCTTCCCCACATTCTCCCACTGGCCAGCCGCTGCATAGATATTAGACATGCTGACATAAGCAGCAGCATCTCTAAGCATCTCCATTCTGAAAAGCTGGTCTGCTGCTTTCCTAGCCAATTCTTGATTCTTATGAATCCTACAGGAATTTAGAACTGAAGACCACATAATCTCATCAGGATCAAATCGCATATCAGCTATCAACTTCTCAGCTTGGTTAAACCGTCCACTCCGGCATAACATATCAACCATAGATGCATAGTGCTCTTTCTTTGGAACACGATTATAGATTTGAGTCATGGATCTGAAATATCTTAACCCTTCTTGAACAAGCCCACAATGGCTGCAAGCAGATAAAACACTGAGGAAGCTAACAGAATCTGGCTGGAAACCTGACTGAACCATCTTTTCAAATGAGTCAAGGGTGGCTTCACCATCACCATTTTGAGCATGGGCTGAGATCAAGGCATTCCAAGAGACTATATTCCTTTCAGGCATGTCCTGAAAAAGTCGAATCGCATCTTTTATGGAACCACATTTTGCATACATATCCAGAAGTGCACTTCCTGAAAAAACATTTGACATGAAACCTGATCTGATTACAAATGAATGAAGCTGTTTCCCCAGTGATAGTGAAGCCAAATTTGCAGATGCTTTTAAGATGCTAGCAAAAGTAGCCTGATCTGGTCTAACACCAGCTTTGTGCATCTCATTGAACAGATTCAGGCCTTCCTCATAGAATTCTTTCTGAACATAACCTGAGATAAGGGCTGTCCATGGAACTGTGCTTCTCTTAGCCAGACTCCTGAATATCTTTTCAGCTTCTTCAAATCTGCCACATTTTGCGTACATATCAACTAAAGAATTCCCAACCAGAAGTTCTGAATCAGCTGTTGTCACAATAGCCAGGGAATGGATTTGCTGCCCCATTTGCAGGTCTAGTGCATTTGCTGCTATACTCAACATGGTTGCAAATGGGAATTGCCTCCGATTAAAGTGAGTAAACTGTAATTCACGGAAAAGTCTAATAGCTTCTTCATGTTGTCCAAACCATGCATGGCATGTGATTATCACATTGTAAGAAATGCCATCCAAGTCGGGCATGTCATCAAAAAATTTCCTAGCTTCAACTAAACGATCATGCTTAGAGTAGAAATCAAGCAATGCATTCCCCACAAAGACATTCCAAACAAACCCAGTCTTCACCAAAAAACCATGAATTTGTTGCCCAAAGGCCAAGTCGTTTAATCTAATAGCGGCACTTAAAACTCCAGAAAAGGTGAAATCAGAAGGCTTGAAACCTAAATTTTGCATCTCCAGAAAGAGGGTTATTGCGTCTTCATTTAGACCATCTTTTGCGAAGCCAGTGATCAATGCATTAAAAGAAACAGAATCTCTTTCACGCATGTCAATAAAAACCCGACAGGCAAAATCAAGGTGATTAGTTTTGCAATAAGAATCAACCAATGAATTGCAGATTATGAGACTGGACTGGTACCCCAACTTAAGAAGGCAAGCATGAACTTGAATCAATTCCTTGTCCACCTCGGCATCATTGCAACCTGATAAAAGAGTAGCAAAAGTCACATAATCAGGCTCCGTATCACGTCTTCGCATCTCTGCGAAAAGCTTAAATGCTTCGCGGAACTGATTCTTCTGCGAGTAGGCACCAATCAAAATGGTCCATGAAACCGCAGTTCGATCAAGCATGGTATCAAAAATTTGTCTAGCTCTTAAAAGATCGCCTGATTTTATATATCCGGAAATCATCAAGTTTGTAGAGACAGTGTTCCTGTTGGGCATTTGGTCAAACAGTTGACGGGCCTCTGACATGTTACCCTTTCTGAGGAAGTTTTCAACCATAAAGTTGGAGCGGCATGTCTTTCGATCAAAGCCCGTTTTGATGCTTCGAGCGTCGATGAATGTTTGGACATCTTGGAGCGAGCTTGAAGGTTTAGAGGGTGCAAGTGAAGCCAGGTTTTTGAGTGTAATGGTTGGTCTGTATGGCTTCATTAGGAATCAATCTGAGCGCCAAAATGGCGGCATAAATACTTCCTCTTATGCATAAGCACTGCACGTGGGTAGTAGATCCTGACACGACAGGACATCCACATGTTCGATAAAAAATAGGTCAACAGCTTTTTAAGTTTTTTTTTCCCTAAGAGTCAAGAAATTCATTTAACAATTGTCCACATATGTTGATTCATTTGATTTTCTCAACTCGGGGAACTTTGTTTTCCAAGTGGTCATGTGGACTCTTTGGAAGGCAAGGCAAAGGAAAAAGCTGATAGCAATATGCTAGAGCTGTTGAAGAAGAGGAACTGCACCATCTACTTACATAAAAAGGCAATGTTAACAATTTATTCTTCCAATATTACTTAAAGCCAGTCATGGTAATTTACAAATATGAGATGGATGCTAAACAAAGTTTTTTTTTTCTTTTTTTTTTTGGTTATGAAGCTAAACAAAGTAAAGTTGTGTTTGAGTTCAGGCCAAGACATCAATAGCGTCGACCACCAGCTGTTGACAAAAGGAGCCGACTTGATTTCTTTCCTTTCTTCCCCATCTCATTCATCTTAGGCGTCTCCCAAGTTTCAACAGCCTTCGCTCTAGTTATTACATTGGCAAATGAAGGTGTGCCTGAATTTCTTGAGCCTGCATAAACAGAAAAAGTACAAGTTTAACCTAGGGCTTAGGTGTTAGAGACAAAGATTTATTAAAAAACATAATAAGATCTGCAGAACTTGAGAAAGAGGAAACTTGGATCATATCCTTTTCAAAGTATAAAGTAGGACAAACAACATTAAATATTAGCACCAAAAATTTACCTGCTACGCCTGTGGAATCAATAGCCACCTCATTGTAATGCACAGTATTTCCATCCTCAAATTTCAGTGAAGGAGAATCATACCCGGCAGCAAAACCAAGCCTTGTAACGTTTGAGAACAGTTTTCTCTCGCCAGCAACTGGGGGACTTGATGATATCACAGTTGAACTTACAAGGGCTGATGTAAGAGAACACTGAACATTAATATATGGTTATGATATGTTCATGCATTGCAAACTTTAAGTAGCAAATCAAAGACCAACTAGAACAACCTTTTAATATACCAAATCTAGAACCCACCAGCTTAATGAGAAAACCATTTCAACAGAATACAAGTTTCTCATAATATTGCTGGGCCCGGACAGATCAAACATGAGAAAAACTCCAAAATAAAATGCAAGGCATACTGATAAGACCAAATGCAAGATATTAGACCTAATTAAACACAGTATTACCTTCAAAGTCACCCATAGAGAATGTAGGGGAATCATCATAAGAAGACAGCACAAAACTGGTTATCATGGGAGTAAACTGCACAGCCGCAATCTCAGCTTTGATTTTCTCCTTCCGCTCCTATAAATAAGAATAACATATGATTCTAAAAACATGGAGAAGCTCAATTTACATTTTCTCAACAAAATGGCACAACTGTTCAAAGAAAAACCTTTAACTACAATCTATTATGAATTTATGATAACACATAATGACAACCCTTTGACCATTAAAACAACCCCCTTTTGACTCCAAACATAAATGGCTTTGCTAAACACCATAATGACATGAAAAAATGTTGCGGTTATATATTAAATCAGGGAACTGATGGTATAACCTAATAGAATTGGATTCCACCAAATAACATTAAGCTTGAACATGGGAAGTGTATTCAAATGATGGTTTAGATGTAATGGTACCTTTCTAGCCAGCTGCTTCCTCTGTTTGTCACGCTTCTGGATTTCATCCATAAATGGAAGCAAAGCATCAGGAGGAAGAACTCCACTCAAATCGATTTCACAAAGCTGAAACAGAAGGCTAATTCCTTTAAAAATGACAGACAAAGCAAGATATGGAAACAGAACACACAGAGATAAAATCATACCTGAAAAGTAGTCGTTAAGGAAAAATGACTTAAATATTGATAGCGCCTCCTTACTGCCTCCGACTGAGTGACGGTTTCCAACTCTAAAATCCTTCCACTTATTCTGCAATTAATAAGTTCTAATTAAAAAGAACAACTTGAAACACACTGGCCATCGAAAACAAAATGTATTAAAGCACCTTTTTTAACCATTTTGGATGAAGCACATACACACACATGACAGAGAGGAAAGGCCCAGAGTTATACAAGTCTTATTAGCATGCAATCCACCAAAAATAGATGATACCAAGAAATAGTACTTTTAAAAATGCTCCTTTTTTATTTCCATTTCCTAGTCAATGATTTCATACACTTTTGAATTTCATTGTCCCATATCTTAATACACATGGTGAACAATAAATCACAGTTTCCATCAAACCTGTGTGGAAATGAATCATAGATTCCATAATGGTGTAGCAGACACTTCACATTTAAAGGATGAAGAATGATGTGCTGCCCATCAACTGCCTGAAATAAACACAAGTGAAAGATAAGAAACTACAAAAGGAAAATATTTAACAGTTAAGAATCTTACAGTCATTCATTATCATTAGTATCAGCAGATGCAAATGCTTAAGCTATCAAGAAGGAACATCATAGAAATAAATAAACCTAAGCAAGCCAAATCATGCTAGGAATGAGGGCAGTAAATCTCTCAAATAGCAAAATAACTTTAATATATTGTACTTCATTCAAAAAGGACCATAAAAAGTCATTTCCTACTTCATTCAACAGCAAAATTGCCACAATTCAAAACTGAAATAGTTCTTCCCTTTCCCAGCCAATATAAAATTGCAAAAAAAAAAAAGGAGAAACTAGACGTAAAACCATCTTAAAATATAAACACCTGGTAGAAATTGTAAAAATCATTGCCCTTTGCATCTCTAGAGCCACCTAAGTGCTCTTGCAAGTTCTTGCTTTCTTCATATGATGAATACAAAAATGTGTCTTGGGCTTCTAGTGATTCAGTACCAACAGTAAATTGATCCAAACCACTCCCTCCATTTGAAATGTCTGTTGCTTAGTTACAGAGACACATATTGTGCTCATTAGCCCCAGATGATAGTGTTCCCCCTTCAAAACCATGTGTATTACCATTAGCCTCGAAAGCATTTGTCGTAAGTCCATGGGGCTCCACTTTACAAATAGTGTTTAAGATGGCTTTATTGCTATTAGAGGCTCGGTGCTCATTCCAATACTTCTTCCTCTGTTGTAATTGTTCCATTGCAGCACAAACATATGGAAGCTTCTCCAAATCATCAACAAGCCCTGCATCTGCTCTAGCCAACCAGCTGTACAATTCTGACATTACTTGTCTGACTGACAGACAAACATCTGAAGTAAATGTAAACTTTGAAAAGGGATCATAAATGACCTTGCCATCACACTGCATGGTACTTGTCTCCTTTTTATTTTTCTGGTATGGAACAAATGAATCTTTTTGTCTTGTTAGAAGCATAAACTCTATAGTATCACCGACATAGTATTGCCTAACATTCTCAATGTAGATGGTGTACAAATCCTTCTGGGATACCATCACAAAACATAAAGGGCACCTTTTGAAGTTCTCACCTTTGTGATCGTCCTGACCCATTAACAAGTATTGCAGAATACATGGGAAGCAAAAACATGTCCACATGAGGTTATTTGCGGGCATTGAGGACATTCCAAACAAATTGGACACTGCACTGGAAATGGGGTAGAATACCTCACACAAATAATATCCTCCCACAGTAACATCTTATCTGGATCCATGGATTCAGGCATATAACTTCCGGTATCCAACATAACAAACTTGTAATTTGCCTGAAGGAATAAATCTTTGTTATAAGGCTTTATCTTCCGCTGCCTCCATGGAGGTGGTCCCCGTGGTTGCGGACGAGATCGAGCAATAGGGTCATAATGAAAATTCAGCAAGTGATTAGCATTCATCATCTGGGCTCTTCTTCCTGCCGAATGTGAAGTACTTCCATGAGGCCCAGTACCCTGATGATTTCGATTAGAAACCATGCCTACGGACTTTTTCCCTCTAGATTGGGAATTTGTCCCCCTGTTATCGTGTAGTGAAGTTCTCTTGCCATTTGGCGTGTCTACTTCACTCACCTAAGGCAAAGAGGAAAGAAGGTTAGTTTAACTTATTACCAATGAAAAGATAAACTTTTACATCTTAAACATCATGTATCTTCGATTCCAGTGTTTTCTGTTGGGTTTCCTGATAGTAGACAAGAATGCATATGAAACAGTTGTAAAGGTTTACTATTTACCCTTTTTTTATGAAGGAAACAGTCTTTGGGAGGGTAAAAAAAATGGCATCCAAGAGCATTAATATGAAACTAACCTCTTTGGAGGATCCAGCTGAACCATGTGCAACGGAAGCCAACGGGCCTGCCATAAAAAACAATGCAAATTTTAGGATTAGGAATTTCAGATTCCAAGACAAGCTTTTATTACAAACCAGTACAACACGGAAATAACCAAAAAAAATTAAACCCAGACTAGGATTGGATGAACCAGAAGAAATAAATGGAAGAAAGAATATTGTATTGAAGGATAATTACGGAGGAAATACCTGGAGGGAAATTGGAGAGAGGAAAGGGAAGAGGAGGATCAGAGATGTGGAGAGATCCAAAGGAGAATTGGAGGAGGAGAGGTTTGGTAGTTGCCATGATTGGAATTAGGGTTTTGAGAGAGATATTGAGATGACGACGCTTTGGAACCTTGAGCTTGTGAGGGCAAGATGGACATGAAATTTTGCAAAGCTTCGTTTCCGAGTGTTGTTTTGCGATGGCCTTAGCGTTTCGGCCTTTGCGGCTTTTCACGCATTGTTATAGAGAGAGAAAGAGAGAATCTGCCGCACGTTGACAGAATTTAGATTCTCCATTAATTACTGCAATACCCTCGTTATCTTTGTTTATTCCTCCTAATATCCCCTCCTTCCCCCCCCAAAACCCTTTTTGTTTTTTTCTTGGGTCATGAAAGACGAGATGAATTTATTAGATATATTCACTATCCTCATGTTTCTTTTGCCCTTTAGAAATCAATAGTGCCACCTTTATGCAAAAGACATGCAGTACTTCGTTTTTGAGTTTTTGTGATCACTTGGGCTCATGCTCATGCATGCTGCTGCCTTTCTGGATCTAGCAAATGTGAAAGTGTGATGTAGACATAACTGGACTGGATCTTCTGTTTGCCATAGCAAGTTTGGCTTCTAAATCTAAAGGAACAATTAAGATTTGCAAACAACAGCATTTTATTTTAGACTGACTTGAGTTTTAGTGCATCAGAATCCTATGCGGCCATGACAGAGTCAGTAAAGGAGAAAACTTTCTCATTTACAAACATCTGCGGGGAGCATTCACACAGTCACAGTGCCAGAAGAGTTAGCAGATTATACAAAATTAGCTCTCAGTTCAGAAGCAAACCAAGTGATTAAGTGCAGCAACAGAGGATTAATCAGAATGCATGGATTACAAAGGTAGCAACAGACGACGCCTTCTTTAATAACAAAATGCCGTCCAGCATTTTTGCAGCCACTTAAGCATCAAATTTTCTCTTGAAGGAAGTGTGATCAAATTCGATGAAAAAGGTACGAATTTCCATTGGAGCAAGCTCCACCACCAGTTTTTTTGGATCAAGAGGTCCACCTCTTACCACCTTGGGATTTTCTCCTGAAGACCCTTCTACTTTCCAAACAAGTCTCTTCTTCTCCATTTCTTCTCTTTCTTGATTCGCAGATAAGCTCACCTCTGTCACCTTGGCAATCTAAAGAAAGCATGAAAGCAACGCCGTGAGATATTACTTTAAATGGTTTCCCAAAAAAAAAAAAAAACCAAGCTAGAGCCTAGAAAATTCGTTGCCTGTACCTTCTTGCCTGGAAATAGCTTCTTCAGTTCCACACTAGTCACTACTGAAAGAACACTGTTCTCTCCAATCTTCGTGTAATTCAAATGCCAAAACAAACAAAAAAAAAAAAGAAATCAAGGCCAGAAAACTACAAATTATATAGTTGGTTATTAAAACTACTTTGTTATGGAAAAGGAAAAAGGATAAATAAAATATAAAAGTATGCAGGGTTTTTTCTGCACTGTTACCAGGTTGGCTCAACTTCAAGACTATTTACAGTAAAAATAACAATTTTAGAATTTCAAGAACATGTTAAAGCTATGTTTGGAGAATTGCCTGGCTTAGGACAGACAAGCCACCATAACATATGTTACTTTAATTAACTGAATGTATGGTAGCACTTTTCCTCAAGTGTGAAAACCACTCCCTTTTCCTTTGAGATTCAAAAGGGGAGCCAATGATTTAAAGGCAAATCATGGGTAAAAATTTTCTCAAAACATGTACAAGATGATTTAAGTGAAGTATGAAAGGCTAACCTCGAACAAATGTGCCAATCTAAGCAGAGTTTTTCCATCATCAAGCTCCTGTATAGGGAGAATAATAGTTAGAAAGGAAAGGGAAATGCCAAGCAGCTTGCATGTCATAATTTACTACATAACTAGAGATTTTTGCAGCAAGAAAATTAGGTTGTAAACTCAGCGAAAGGTTATCATCCCTTGCCTTAATCTCATTAAAATAAAAGTATAACAAAATAATGGATAATGATACGTTTCCCTTTCCCATTTATGGAAACAATATCTACCTGAAGAGTTATAACAGCAATATTATCAGGTAAAGTGTAGGAGTCGTCAATCCCTGAGAATGTCGGTATATGAGAACTCATCCAGTTATCTCCATCCTGCCAAGAGAAATTTGCTAGTCAGAAACAAATCCCTAATTCCTGAATAAATGTGAAAGAAAAAAACAAAGAAAAAGAAAGAAACCTCTTCTGCAAATGCTAACAGGAGGGGTGAGTATATCTGTTGGCCAAAAGAACGACGCCACTTGGCACCTTCTCCTAGGGGGTCAATTCTGTAATAATATTTTCCTTGAACCTGGAAGAGTTTTGGAGATATAGAAACATATGCTAATTGTCAGAAAAAGTACAATTTGAAGACAAAATTACATTTAAGGATTTTAAAAAAAAAAAGGTTCCAGAGATTTTATACATACGACCAAGTTATTAGCCCTTAGATCAAAAGCCAAGGTTAGTCAGCAATAAGTGAAACTAACTTCATTTCAACTATTTGTCTGCTAACTGTTGAGAATTAGGTAAACCATCACCAAGGGTCTTGAAACGCAACTCTAGATCCAACCTGATATAGGAAAATGCGAATTCCTACTCACAGGATCCAGATAACATTTACTTACAGCTAGTCCTCTGCAATCATCACGAACGCAGACCGTTTCATTTAGAGCCTCTGCAACACCTCTGGAGTCATCAAGTAGCAGCCTCCTAAATTGCAATAGAAATCTAAAATCATAATTCTGCCCAACTATCTTGCATGCAAGAGTTAAACCCTTAGCCTTGGCCATGCCATAGAAACCCACACCTTTTATGTATTGCTTTGGGAGCTTCAATATTCACAAAGTAAAACGTTCAAGGTAGTATAAGAGTTACTGAAAACTAAGCAAAGGACGACAAACCTGTGGAGCATCAACTCTATTTGTCCATCCACTATGCTAGATCCTCCAATAGATCGATCTACCAATACTGAAAATTCTTTCTCACTATCTTGAATGTAAATTCCTAAATTAATCTGAATGGATAAAAATGCTATAAGTCAAAAAAGTGTCGTTCATTAACATCAATTATCGAAAAGGATAAACTAGTCTTCAGGAACAAAGTTACTCATGGAAAGAACATGCCGGGTAATAGTTTCCAGCAAATGGTTGGTTTACTTCCAGGTCCCAGTCTGTCCTAAAATCACGAATCTGCAAGAAAGGGAAGTCCATGGTTCGTTAACGCTAAGAATAACTAGTTAACAAGAATGAATTCAAAGAAGTGTTTCAGTTTGTTATGGCTTAATGCAAATAACTTAATGTGAGATATTTCTTGTACTATCTATGTTGGAAACATGAGGACAAAGCCCATTCTGGATTAAGCTTCATGGTAACAACCATTCTGACCGTCAATATGATACTCAAACAAATAAGATTTAGGGCTGAACACCGCAGCATACATTCAACATACCCGTTTGATAAAATCACGTCCATTAGAATCCGTGTAGAATGTTTTACTGTTATCCAGAGAAGTAGTAATCTGAGTTACAACTTCTTTGCCAAATCCATCATCAATTGGAACAGGCCCAACCTGAGATTCAGTTGGCATTAATGTATACAACCCAACATGTTGTGCTCATGCATATAAAACTGTGAGAATAAAAGTAAAATGTATAGGAAAACAAAGAATTGGAAGAACAAAGAAAAACAGTCACTAAGAATCAAATATGCAAGACCATTATATAGCAACAAAGGGTTGAGAGGGCAATTTGATAAACTTACAATGAACTCAACTTCAACATGCTCTTTCTCCTTGTAAAGTCTAGTAGTCTGCATACATTTTGTCAGTAAGATAGCTGTAATCTTTACTAAAGATAAGAGATATCAAACTGCGGATTAGATATCTGTTTAGATTGGAGATAAGAGATGTCAAACAGAGGATTAGATATCTGTTTAGATTGGAACAAAATACAACAAAAAATCACAAAAATGAGAAAGAGCTCTACTTCTAACTTTTCATTGCTTCTGTTAGTTTCATCCATCAGCGTAAAGCATTGATCTGCAAAATTCATCTAATAAAACAGCCAAGGCAGGGCTAGTGACAAATTGCCTGCACATTTTCTACTTATTTTTTCATCTCTGATATGCCATATATTCATGCATAACTGAAACAGAAAAATTGAAAAACATTTCTAACAAACACCTTAACAACTTAGAAGATACATATGAGAGTGAACCGCATATTTAACCCAATAAAGAGATACAAGAAAGTACAAACTCATCATTTGGAGGTGAAAAACTACAGTCCTGCACAATTTCCTTAAGCTCCAAGAGCAAGCAAACCAGTACCCATTACAGAATATACCCTCCATTGATTAAAATGTTACATTTTAGTAAGATTCATTTTTGAACAATTGACATGCTATTCTATACTTACATTCATATCCATTACCTTTTAAGTTCACCCTACAATGCATCTGGTTAAATATTAGTTCAGTAGAAGACAGAATTCTACAGAGAAAAACATTTCACCCACAGAAAACAAACATTAGTAAAGGCACGACACCTGAAATATCCACGGATTGATCTGTTGATGCACCTCATGTATTAATGGTCCTTGAATAACAGTCAAAGAGGCCTGCGACTTAACAAGACGTCTTAGTTTACAGTTAAGGTAATTATGTGTTTGAACAAAAGCATTTTTTAAGAAAACTTACATACCTGTTCAGGTTTTATGAGATATGTGCCATTTGGACGGAAGATATATGCCCCAGAGTTCTTGTAAAAGCACCAAAGTTTATAAGAGAACAACTCACAAAGGAAATCTAGTAATTTACTTAAATTCCCAAGCATGCAACAGCTGAAATAAGAGAATATAAAATGCTACTTTCTGCACGCATGAGGAAATTCTATCTAACATATCTATACCTGTGGCTCTTTGTCAAGAGATCCATTATATCCAATGTAAAAACTAAATGATTGTTCCACTGATTCCTTGACCTTCAAAAGTTTCCAATAAAAGCATTAAACAGACAGAGTTTTAGCCTCATATTCCTCACTCTGTCATAGCAGAAAAGTAAGGAAGCAATATACAATAACAGCAATACTGATGCAACAATTGCAACTGCCTCATATAGTCATATGTAATCACAGTTGAAAAGGAACCAACATAATAAATGCTTGAAGAAGGAACATGAAACATCAAATAAGCAGAATTAATGATATATGACTCACCAAGTTTCTGCTGTTGATATAATTTATCAGGTTCGCTTGAGGCACAGCAAAAGTAAGCTTTAAATTTCCTTCACCAACTTCAACAGCAGATCTTTCATCCCTCTGAAATTTATATATAGCTGATTTGGTCGATCCAGCTCCTGAAATCAAACATAAAAACAGATTGCAAATATTGATTTGCATTTGATAATCAAGGAAATCGCCCATACTTGCTCAACTAGATAAGATTAATTTCAATCAGTACAGCAGCTTCATGAATAAACCTGTCCTTTGGGAAGTAGAGATGATATAAGTGCTGAAGCCAAGAGGTAGTACAGATACTGTGAATGCAAGCCAATACTTAGGTACAGCATTTGGGTTGCTACCTAAGTATGCCCTAACATAATAGTTCCTAAGGTCCACATAAGCATCAACTGTTGGAACAAGCTGTGATTCAATTTTTCTTCCCTCAGAGTCATGAACAATTACATCTTCATTAACAACCTACAGCAAACAAGATCAACAAACGTGATTTCCTTACAGCAAGGAAGCCTGATAGTCGAATTGAGAACTCACTAAGATATTGCTTGGTTCACCCTGATCACCTAATTCAATAAGGTGCACACCAAATAAAAACTCTGGCTGAATTGTTAGCAAATGATTTTAGACATATAATTGCCTACATTAGAAGCTATGCTGCTCAAACTCAGTCATGAATGTTGGATATGGGTCAATCTCCAACACAGATATGTTCAATTTTTTGCAAGTTTTTTCCTTACACTCATACCCATGTACAATTTGAGATGTCCAATACAGGTACGTCAGGAAAAATAAAGGGTTGAAGCAACATAGGTTTGAAGCATTGCACAAGAAATCTTTGAAAGCAAAGTTTCAAAAATAGCCAACACGTATCAACAAAATATTATTTAAAAAAAAAAATAAGAGGAGTTCAAGGCAAACAGAAATGTACTACAAGAGGAGTGAGTACTCACAGGAAAACGTATTACATCCTCTCTCTTCCACCCCAAAGAATTGTAGACCACAACAATCTGTAAATAAGAAGAAATTAAAATTTGATAAATGTCTAAGAATTATTTATGAGATCAAAGAACAGAAGACAGATTGAAATGTCCTCCTTACCAACTTCTTTCCATCAGACAGGTCAGTTTCTGATGCAGGACAGTAAGTTATATTCAGAAGTGGACACTGGAAAAGATCAAAGAAAAGGGGGATAAGAAGACACATCTCAAATGTCAAAGTCCCTTAGCTAAATTTCACATCATAATTTCATCAGCCATGATGTTGTACCTGCTGGAAATTGGTGGTTGAGTCCCCACATCCAATGAATGAGTTTGAATCAGCCAAGCAAGCAAGCGATGATGCAACAACCTTCTCAGCCTGCAGAAAGATAACAAACAAGTTGATGACTTTTGACCAAAGTGAAAAGGGACGAGCATCCAAGAAAATTGTAAGGGTCAAATCTGCACCTCAGCGTAACCTATTGACAGTCTTTTTGCATAATCATTGGCCACGTGCTGCTTCTCTGTACCTGTAACAGCATCATGATGTTGAGCAATAGCCAAAGCATCTGCCAATGAGTCTGTATTGGGCCCTGAATCACTTCTCCCTTTGAAAAATTCAAGTTGCCGTGCAGCCTGATCATATATTCACAAATATGAACTATATGTGTAAATGAAAAGGATTAATTGAACTTTTAACTATAACGTATTAAAATGGATAAAGAACAGTACCAAATGGTAGCCACTCATTGTTCTAACATAGCGTTTTAGAGCTGGTCTACTTGTAAAGTATCCTGTCCAGTAAGCATTTGCACGATCTGCGTAACTGGTAAGAAATACACTTTAATTTCTTAGACAAGACCAAGTGTGAGAACTAAGATTTAGAGATGCTCAAGCAATTAACTCACGGAAAGTAGTCATCAGTTTTGAGCGGCCAAGATTTGCTCATAGCATATTTAGCATCAGTATATATGGATGGAGTAGAGTAGAGTTCAAAACCACTTAAAGCCAATGGTTCTGATTAACAATATGAAATCCAGAGAGAATAAAAAACCTTGATGTAATGCATGACTAAAATCCAGTCACCAGAAAAACGAAAGAAACTAGAGATGAACACACCTTATTCACATAGTGAATAAGCTTGTCCATGTTCCGGAACCAAGTGAGTGCATACTGATACTTAAAATCTGTTCCCATGGTCCACATTATGTGATTTGTTCTAGTTACGTTTGCCTGCAATGAAATAACAGCTTTTACAATAAGTATCAAATGAAGACTTACTTTGAGGAATGATATGGACAATTAAATTAAAGATAGGAATTCTTGAAGTTAATTGATAACATGGTTTTCAAATATCTTAAGAATACACCAAACATTCTGTGGAAGACTAGTAAATCAGGAAGAATATATTGAATACTGTTTAGTTTTGAATGGATAAGGATACTTCTTCCAGAAAATGGCAAAAGATACTTTTTATTGCACAACCCAACTTTGCGCTGCAACCACTGCTTTGGTAGATACAAGATTGGAACTTCTTCTAAGTGAGGTCATAATGAATAATGATTATCTTTAACATTATAACTAATAGCAAGAACTTTGCTAAAGCAGGTACTTTCCACCTATTATTTCAACAGTATCATATTTAATAAAAAAAGAAGAAACAAAAGAGCATATATTTTAATAAAGGAGAAGATACTGATAAATATTAAGACCAAATAGCACAAGAAGCAAAAGCAAAGAACTTAAGAGAGTTTCATACAGAGCCAAATTTCCAACAAAGAGACAGGAAGGGAACCAAGATAGAAAATTCCTCACATGGCAATTTAATTTCATTTACCTGTGCTATTGCAGCAGCAACAAAGTCATTCACTCTGTCTTGAACATTGTAATCAAACAAATCGATATCATCCTACATCAGATGGAACCAAATTTACACTAGAACCAATTACATACTCAAGAGACTGCCTAAAGTAACATCATTTTACAAAGCTTACTTGAACAATAGGGGAATCATCATTAACTTCAAAGTAGAAACCTCGTGGAGGTTCATAATTTTGTGGGAATGCTCCAGCAAAAATCTGCAACACAACGAAGTTCAAGTGAACACTAACTGAAGAATAACATATAATGATATACTTCCCAGCCACATTTTGAATGGTAAACAAATCAGTAAATGCAACACTATAATCATAAAGTTGATAGTGATATCCAAGGCTAATCATGTATGCACCAAATAAAACCATACCAAACAATGCTGTTTACCTGAGCAGATGAGCCCAGGCTCTTAGAACCCCGCCAAATAACTTCAAGACTCTTTTCTTTTTTTCGCTTAATCCTGTCTTGGTAGTCTATGCGGCCGAAGAAAAATGAGTCAAATCCAACCTACAAAGACAGTAACACAATTCTATCTAAATTACACAGCTTGAAAGTAAAAAACACTAAATTGAGGAAGCAAGGTAGAAGCATAAGTTACAGATAGACTTACTTCTGCTCCCAATAAGTAAGCCTGCACTGCAGAATGTCCAAAAGGATCAATTTGCCATCCAATTCTTGGAGTGACACCAAACTCCTCTTTAATGAATCGTTGTCCAAGAGTTGTCTGATCAATCATGTCTATGTAATGTGTTACTGCCTCATCATGCATGCACATGCCTCCATTTCTGGAAGAAGCAGAGGAGGAGAATTAGGGAATGTACAAACTCGTAAGTGGGAAATGATAGGAAAGAACTGGTGTTTAAACATGCAACTAAAGGGGCAACCATTGCTATTTGCAAATTAAGCTCCTTTTTCTTTCTTTCTTTTTTTTTACTTGTTTTTTCGGGAAGGGGTTAGAAAAGGATTAAGGTCACGTATTACATGAACTCTAGTTGACCCGAGCTGACAAGTTTCTTGACTATACTCTGAATTAGCTCACTCTGATCTCTCCACCATCGCTGAAAAAATGCCTGCATAAATCAAATAAGATGATCATAAACATGACATATACTACAGAGAAAAATATAAAATAACAAAAAGAAAAATGGTCAAATATTATGTTACAACCACACATCTCTTGCTAGTAGAATTGGGCAAAGCCACCAAATTTGTTTGACGCAGCGATTTAGACGAGGAATATGAATTGGGGGCTGGGCTTGAGGAAATAATTCATACTAAAGACAGCCAGACACCCAGAAAATTTGAGATTTCATTTATTTTCCTTACATGCTTTCGAAACCGAACACCACATAATTGATGATCGAAAAAGCAGAAACAAGAGACCTATATTCTTGCCTGTTCAACATAAATGAATTTCCGGTTTTTGTCAGCCAACAGGGCAGGCAGTATAGAATCCAGTACATTCTGCACACAAGCCCCCTACAAAAAAAAAAAAAAAAAAAACACAAAAAGAGAAGAAGAATTATAAAAAGGAACATTCATCTCTACGAGAGAAATGGATAGTGGAAGAAGAAAGAGCAACCTGGATAGAATTGTTGGAGCCAACATAGTACTGATCAACGGTTTTTAACCAACCAACATCACCATGGGTGTGCGGAACCAGATGAACATTGATTTTCCCAGCATCTATTCCTGAAGAAGTGTTATAAACCATGTACTTGGATTCTGCACATAAAATCCCCAATAATAGCACCACACCGAGCAAGCTAACAATCCCCATTTTTTAAGTTTACTTGTTTGTTGATTTTGAGTCTGGGTGTTTGAGATTCTAGCAGTTTTCAATAGTTGGTGTTGAAGTCGTAGTTGGTTTGAGTTTGCAATGGAAAATCAAAGCTATGATGATTCACTACAAGTTTTGGCTTTTGTGCAGTGATGGAACTGCCATTCTTTGTTTTGACTTTTTTATTAGTGCTATTGATTATAGTGCAAGTCTACTGTTATCCAAACCTATTAAAATTCTTTAAATCCGAAAAGAAAACTCTTTACCCTGTTTTCGAGCTTCTTTAACAGATTGACAAAATTAAATATTATATATGCATACTTGCAGTGCGCTGCTGGAGCATAAAGCAGCACTCCTTATATGTTTTCTTTTGTATAACTTTTTTCTTTATGAAAATACATGGATTTTGTTTGATCTCTTTTGAGAAAAGCAAAGAGGCTTGCTTGTAAGGCTTGTGCAGATATGCAGTTGAGTAGCCATAGCCTTGAGTTATGTTATGTCTGACCCTTTGATAATGACGTTATATTTTTTTTTCCCTCAACCTCTTCAATCTTATCCTTTTTGTGTAATTTGATAAGTTTTAGACATTATTGAAAAACACTTGCCTAATATTAAGCTGCAAAAGACATTTCATCTGTAGCTAGCTTGTGGCATGTTGTTGTGTAAAGTAAAAAAAAAAAAAAATGTGGACTTCTAATCTAAGTATTGTATTGGAAGCAGGGACACGAGCGGAGTACCCAGTAGTAAGTAAGTGGACGCTGTCTCCTTTTTTAAGGGATCCAAAGCCCATACATAGATGGATTACCAATGCAATGGGAATGCGGCCTCAGCAGTCAGTATTCTACAACCAAATCCAACTCCAACTTCAACTTGGGCTATAGTATCCTCTTTAGGTTGGGCTGCAACTCTATCCACATTCCATGCCCAAAGTCAACCAAAACCCTAACTTCCTTTACAAATCCGTAATTTCGACCCCCACCCCATGGAGATGGAACTGGTAGACAGGTTCAATGTTCGAGTCGACAAAGCTTTTGGCTCCCTCGCTTCATCTTCCTCTTCCTCTTCTTCTAATTCAAAATCACAGTCTTTGAGCTCTCTTTGGAGGCTTACGGACGACGAAATCGCGAAACGAGAGTGGAACGGAGACAAGGAGGGTCCCCAGCCGGAGGAGGGGTTCTGCGACAACTTTCCACAGAAGAATAAGAAGAAGAAAGCCATTAATTTCCGTGCGGAGCTAGAGAAGGATCTCGATGACCTCGACGACGAGGATTTGGAGGAAGAGGAAGCATGTGTGTGGTCGAGTAAAGGTGGTAAACCAGAGGATTATAATGATGAAGAGTGGGAGATCAAGTCTTCCATTGGAAGGGACCGTACTCTTGATTATGAGGTTATATTTTCCTTATCACTTTTCTATTCTCTCTTTTTTTATTATTAAATCATCTGAATCTCCATGAAATAGGTCTCTACATAGGATTATGTTTTGCCTACTTAAAATGTGAAATAAATAAATAAATAAATAAATAAATAAATAATATGATAAATAAATAAATAAATAATATGATAAATTGACTAACAAATTATAACTGACAATGTCGAATTGCCTAATGATATCGGTGGCAAATGCTTTGGTTTTGCTTGTTGGAGTCATCATGTTGTCTCAGATCTTGGATTGGTTGTTGTAAGGTTGTAGATATATGGTCTGATCTGAGATTCTGTGGTTCTTGTGCAGGAAGAGGAAGATGAGTATGATAAAGTGGCAGTTGGCAGGGAGAAGACCCGAGATTGCCTTTATATTAAGGATATAAATGACTATGAGATAGATGCAGATTCTTGCAATATGCTTCCAACTGCTTTCAAGGATTTCAGTAGAGATCCGCGTGCCAATAACATTGCTGCAAAGCTTAGGCTCAAGGAAGATGAAGAAGATGCTGAAGCTGCTATAAAAATTCATTCGTTACGAGTGTCTGATAGTGATGCAACTGTTGGCGTGGATACTCACATTAGCACATTTGAGGAAGGTAACCTCAAATCGATTCTGAAGAGAAAGGATACTGAGTCGAATCCAAAATCACTGAAACGAGTCCGTTTTGATTCCCAATATTTTAGAAATGATTGCAGTGAAGGGCCTGAAAGAACCAAAGATGTCCCAGGGGAAGCTTGCTCGACAAAGGAAGAAGAAGCTATGGTCTTCAATGATGCGTTTACTTTACCTCAGGATTATCCTTCTGGAATTCCAGATTATATGCGTAACCCTTCAAAATATACTCGATATACTCTTGATTCAAGTGATGTTGATGATGAATCAAATCGGCAAGCCTACATGGACTTTCTAAAGCTGGTTAAGAGGTGTGATGCTACAGAACCAGAGGCAGATGATGCTCCATGCGATCTTACAAAACCAGTAACTTTTATACCAAGGAGGAAAAATTCTGATGTCATCATGGGAGAAAGCTGCAGTGAGTCAAAAACAAATCCAGGAACATACTGACAAGGAGTCCATGCATAGGTCAGGCTTGCCAATTGGAATTGCAGCTGGGTATACGAATGATGGAGTTTGTGCAATGGAGGAAGATGAACTACAACCAATCGCGGACAAGAGAAATATCTTACAGAGACCGGGCCGACAGTATTGTAAGAAATCAAGCTTGTACCTAACGGAATTCTGACTTGGGACTATTCTAGTGTCTCCTTTTAGATGGATTGTGAGCAACTGAGCAAGCATGTATGTTAACAGCAAGATATTGTACTTTGTGTAGGCAGAAGAAAACTAGGAAAAGGAAAGATAAAGAGAGAGATGAAGAGGTTGTAAGTTGTAACTGTTGTATCCCTCTCATAAATAACAGCCTCATCCTTTCAGATATTAGTGAATAATCGCATCACTATATCCTTGAAGTTGTCTGCCAAGGTCATGATTTGGAAATAGCTAGCATTTTACGCTTGACCATCATACACCGCATGGAGACTAGACTGGCTGGTCGCTCGAACATTGTAAAGTGAGAACATATAACTGACAAATTTTTCAATCATAATAGAGTTATATAAAAATCCATCATTTGTAAACGTAAATTTTACATAAAATTTTTATAAACTTAACATAGTTATGAATTTGGATTGGTTGATTGCACTTCATTGTAGGTGAAATACTAAAGTAAGGGTCCTCGTTATTCTGTAATTGGATCATCTTGAAACGGAATAGAAGCCGGGTAACACAAAGATTTATTAGAAGAGGAGCCAACTTTCTTTGTTGCAACATGCTTTGTTATTTGAAGCCAAAATCACTGCCTCCTTTTGAACAGCTTGATTGTTTTTTGTAGCACGTGTATTTCATTTCTTTCCCACTAACTTTTAAGATGAGTGGAATAACCAACTAATCGGGGAAAAAAAAAGTACATTGAATATAAACTAGCATCCTCATATTATCACTTTCCCTAGATAATACATTCTTAGACCTTGTTAATGTAAGCAGAAAGCAGAACACAGTTACAGAGGAAGGCAAAAATGCATGCATTAATAGATGACCTCTTTATCCAATATCCATATCGCAAAAGCACCATGCGTAAGACACTTACAATCAGAACCAGATACCTATGAGTAATGCGGCATAAACTACACTGATTTTCAACAATATGTTGCTATTGCTCTCATCAATTCCCTTGAGCTCTGATCTATTAAAATCAGTATAGTGTCTTTTCTCATATTCGAGACAAGATTTCAACATTTGCAATAAAAATTGGAATAAAAAAAATGAAAACAACAACCTGCAGCAGCTCATAATATACAAAACCCTGGGAAACCTATATATTGCTCACCATTTGTCAGGAAAAGTGAGACACAAAAGAATCAGGGCAGATACATACATCAAATTCAGCATCTAGAATAAGCGCTTCCTGCAATCTTCTGCTCCACAGTAGCATGGCATCCTTTTTACCTTCCCATCAGGACCATAAACACTATCAAGGGCATAGCCGTAATCATAAGTAAGCTCCTACAAGCAAGAATATGGAAATGGTATCCAGTCACTCTAAACTCCAGCCAAAATATCCAGGTAATACAAGCGGGGAAAATATAAATAAATCATAATAAGACCCATAGATATATCAATGATGCATGAGCCCAAAAAGTTGACTCGAGCTCCAAGTATTACCATAATTTGTGAAGTAATATAAAAGAAATAGCATAAAATCCAGAAATTGGCACCAACCAGCTTTCAGGAAATTTAGAAGGTTCCAAAATTGGGGAAAATCACCTGCAAAGGAGGAATGTTGTCTGCTGCAAAGAGCATCACTCGAGCTAGTTTAATATCCTGATGTGCACTGAGGACACACTGGATAAAGAGGTTAGGCTCACAGCTATGATTTATAAATCTTGCAACATTTCCCATGGAACCAGCATCAATGCAAAACTCTGGCACACTCTCTGATCTCTGTTCATCAATTTTGTCCATGTTCTGGATCATCGGCAAAGATGCATCCTGTTGCCGTCTCTGTCAAGGAAAAGAAAAACACCATAAGTACGATCTTACATGCAGGCAAAATCAATCAATCTATGATTTCAAGCAGTAAAACTGAATATATATCACAATTCAGAGAAACAAGGTTTCTTAACAAAATGATATCCTATGAACTCCAATACAGGTTGGGCCCCTTTGGATGTCAATGTTATACTGAACTAAATACTCAAAAACTTGAAATGCAAAGCTAGATGTAATGCTATGCTAAAGAGACTAATTATACCTCTCTGCCACCAAGCCCTCTCATAGTTTGCAAGCAATCAATGTCAAATATGTAATTATTCTCAGAGACACTATCCAGCTCTTCTGTCCTCGTGAGTAGTCCAATATATTCACACACTGGGGCACCAGAAGGTATAAAATCCCAAGACCTAACTGCCCATCCTTTCTTTGGAGTACGGAACACCTGTCAATTCACATCAGTCAGATTTTATTCAGAGATGTCTCAACCAGAATCCATCACAGGATCACATAAAGAATTGAGCAGAGTAGTTTTTCTTGCAGTAATAAGAAACCTCAAGTCGATATTTCAATCCTTTCTGAGATGTACGATTTACACAACTTAGGCCACAGCCACAATTTGGACCACATTCAAAAACAACATGCTTGGCTTCAATTAGTCTGGAATTGAAGAAGTGGAAGAGCACTATTAAGCAAGAAGCTTAAACAATAAGAAAAAAGAGTATTGTATAAGCCATTAAGCTTCTGATTTCTAAAATTTTACCTGCCACCATCACGGTGCACATAAGGAAAATCAGAACCATTAAGCCTGGCACATGCACAAGTCTTAGGATCCCAGCAAACTCCCTTGCAATCACATCCAGCAGCATTAACAGGGAGCTTTATATTATGTGCAACTTTCATAGACTTGCAATACTTGTAACCTGAAAACACATTAACAGACAGAAATATAGCAATTTATGCATGCAAAGCATTGCATCAAATGGAAGTTATCTTTTAAAAGAATGTATGAAGTCTGAGAAAAAGCGGGGAAATGATAAGTAAAAGTGAAGAAAAGAGCATCATTAGCATAAGAAAAGCATAACACAATTGTGCATGTGAAAGAATATTCAATGTTAATAATGATGAGAGAAGGGAGAAAAATTGCTTAGAAATGAGGATTGGTAGACCTTCAAACAAGCCACTTGCAGGAGCACATGCTGCAAAGCCAACTAGGAGAAAGATTATCAAGGGAAATCAATGAACAATTTACATGTAAAATGGTTTACAAGAACTAATGCTGAGATTGCAGAAGACAAAAAAGTGCCAAATTTAGAAACTCATGGATTGTGTGGTTGTTTTGGAGTACAAGATGAGAAATCAGTATTATTGAACTAAAATAATTGGCCAGAAGCCAATCAACTCCCTAAGTTACGAGAGAAGTAGATCTCTTCTTGTGGAACTACTATCACTCTTATAACCAAAATTATATCGCCAATATATTATTGATTACATTGTGCATGAAAATCATGTAACCATCCCTAAGACAACAAGTTAAAAAGTTAAGCTTGCCTGTCGGTGCAACGGGTGGATTATCAACCAAATTAGTAGCTGGAATAGGTACATCCTCTTGACCACCACTGATGTCCTCACACACCAACCTTAACCAATAAACAATAGAATTGAGAAAGAACAGAAACAATGACATACAGCAAGCAATAATTTTGTAAAACTTTATTCTTCAAATACCCGCGAATTTCAGAAGGAGACTTGGGAACACGGCCATAGGTAAATTGAACCTGTCATAAGAGTTAACAAACATGATCAAAAATAATTAGATTTAACAGCAAACTCCAGATTCCCACCATAGGAATTTTTTCATCATTTGATTGAGATTTAAGCATCTTCTCATAGCAGCAAAGTATTGTCACAATTTTGTCAGAAGTTCGAACATATAACTTTGGAACAAGTCCAGCATCTCATTCCACCAGTTAACCCTTTGCCTTAAAACCTGTTCCATACTCTAAGCCAATAATACACACACATATTTTCTGATTTTAAAAGTCAGTCACAGCCAAGAATAGGTAGACCACTCCATCTCCAGCTATCTGGTCGTATTTATTAAAAAAATACCACCGCATGCTAGACAACGCCTTTTGTCAAAACTTGGGTGCAGTTACCATGTAAAAATTCAATTTACAAGGAAATCATGCCTGAACAATTAGCATCATCTTCAAAGAATAACATTCTGTCCAAAGATAAATGACATATTTTGAGCAATAAGCCATAAAAAATATACAACAGATAGTAAACCTGGCTAGTAGTTAATGTTGGCTGTCCTTCAAGGCGCCTCAATCGATATTTAAACACAGTGAACCCAGAAATACCCTTCTCTGCCCAGTACTGAACAACCTGCAAATAGGGCGAAGGTAATGAAATGCATAACATTATATTAAATTTTAGGCATAAAGCATCTGACATTTCTCAAATCAACAAAGACTGATATTTTATTACTTTCAAAATAAATCTAAAGGAAACACCCATATAATAAAAGATCATTTCAGAATATTACAACTAAGAGAATATCATCTAGTATTTAAATAATTTAGAAAAATTACAAAAGAAGAGATGCCATGTCTTGCATGATCAAAATACATAAGGCTACAATACTAAGAAGGTAAAAGACAGATCAATCCGAAAACTGAAAAGGTTTTACAAGGCAAAACCAGACAATCAAAATTCAAGTATTCTACCAGTGGCACATTAGACAGATACAAAGTTTGAGTATCACCTATCAAGATAAATGCAACAAACTACTTGTTCACATCATCTTTTCAGCAAACTATAGTCATTTAATCACATTAATTTTGGCTTTGACCACTAGATAAACATTTTACAAGACTGTTCTTTTTCTCAAAAACAGTGAGAGGGCTACATGTTTGCGATAAAGACTACAAGACTCGTTCAGCCATGATGGAAACACCAAGCTAAGTCAACCATATTGAACAATCCTCAAACATTGTCATATTCTATCAAATTTATAACAGAAGGAACAGCAAATATTATTTTATGCATTCAATTTATTCACGAAGATTTAGGAATAAGATTACAGTTTTGATCATCATAGTCAACATGATACTAATGAAAACATATCATGCAATCTTAAGCAACAAATAACATGTTCAGATAAACCCAAGCTTAACAATATTTCTCAGAAAATTACCTTGTACAAGCCATCATACGTATAAACTTTTCCAGAGTAACTGCTAGCAGATTCGTGACCACGAATTACTCTGACAGGCACCCCAAGGTCCACACAGTTCTGTAGTTAAATCAGGCAGAAAGTAAGTCTACAGCCTCCAATGAGATGCCATACAAGACACTCCCAGATTGAAAAAGCTGCAACCCATAAATATGGAAGCAAATGTTCTCAAACACATTAGACCAAATTTTGCCATGTCAAGAACACAAGTTTTACTTTAATAATTGTCCCTCTTGAACCCAAGAAAAACTCACAAAGCCATTCAACAGACTTAAAAGTTTAAGATTCCACAGAATCTAAACCTTCCAATCAGACGCCAAACAAAACATTCCTACATTAATATGACATCAAGACATATGCACACATATTCACATGACAGGACTTTTACCTGTCTTGAACCCAAGATATAACAGTTGCAATGTTAGAAAGCATATATGAACATAGTGATTTAGCCAAATCTACGGACACACAACAGACGAAGCATTTAAATAATCATATACATACCATACCATTGTGCTCTGTTTAGAGATTATATCCTGAGTAAGATTAGAAAATTTTGAATATATTTAGCTTCACATGAGTAACAAATTCATTTAATGACCATCCAAAAACACAGACAATGTAAATCTTAAAGACTTTAGAATTCACACCTTGAGAGCCAGATTACCACGTTCCAAAACTTGATCTCGAATTTGACGTTTATTACCAGTTAGGTCATGTCCTCCTTGTCCAGTATAGACAACATCTTCAGCGTTATCTAAATCATCCTCATACATGCCCGACAAAACTATAGCTACTGCAAGTGGGAATATATAGTGTTCATACTCCTGCAATTTTTCAACCAAAAAAATGTAAAGCATAAAAGAGATGGTTGTGTTGTGAATGCTATCAATACTCTACGGTTTCTTTGGTAAACAAAAATAATAGCAACCACTCAGTCAGAAACAATCACCCAATGAAGGACTCCTGAAGAGCATGAACCAGAAAAATTAGTTGAGAAGAACAAAAGTCATCTAAAAATTCTAAATAGGAAATAAAAAAATATTCTGCCATAATTCTAGTCCAGAAGAAAAATAGATATCCTTGAACAGGTAAAGAAAATAGGGGCAGCAGGCACCCATTTCTCTAAATGTCAACTCATGTTTACACATGTTTCCTTCGAGGGATATTTTACTCGATAAGACCTTTTAATGGTACCCAACAGCACTTGACAACAAAAAAAAAAAAGCAGCAACCCCATAAACAAGGTAGAAAGGGTATGATAATGCATTTATGGAGCATATTTAAATCAAAAGGGGTGCCCACTGAAAAGATTAATAAAAAGCTTTAAATAAGGTGTAAATATCACTATAACCCCATTCACATTAACAAATGAATGTATTACCCCTTTCCTGTAGGACTGTCCCATATAATCAATACCATTCAACCAGTGGCTATGAAAACCAACAGCAACCATTTCAGCACGAGAATAAAACCGATGACCAACATCAATGCCTGCCATACATTAGAGACATCTTTGAGAATAGTTTCTTAAACTATTCAAACAAGATTCTGAAATGACCATAAGAGTACATATTAGCCAACTAACACCAGCATGAAAGCAACACAACAGACATAAGCTCTCACAACCAACCTGAAAGGCTGCCTATCCTTTTGTCAGGATAAAGCACCTCATCGTTCTCTATCATCTGCAAATTTTTTAATGTTGAGAAAACATTAGGGTATATGACATCAAAATAAGTATTAACACCATAATGACATACTTTTAGCAAAAGAAATATAAGAGTAAGTAACAGAAACATAATCAAGAAAATTTTATAGCATTATCATAAATTCATAATCATTACAATATTAGATCAACAAAGTTCTCCCACACAACCAACAAATATCTACTAATATATCAAGGCCAGAAAAATAAATAAAGAATGATTATCATGTTATTCTTATAATAAGCTATGAGAAAACTTTTCATCAAATGAAAACATAGCATATGAGTCCAGCTAATCAATAACATGAATCAATATAAGAAATGAGAAATGGTGCATGCCAAAAGATTATAAATTTACCCTTGAATAAGTGAAAATGAAAGCTAAGATGGATTCTTAAACAGTACAATCAGATTTAACTGAAAAAACTTAAAGCTGAAATCCTGAAAAGAACCAGCAGCACATAGGCATTGACTTGCCTTTGATATCGCCTTCAAGTCAGGTCGCTTGGCCTTGCCCTTGACATCAACCTCAGGTACATTTCCTTTCTACATATATTTGTACAATAACAATGAAATTCAAAATGACAGAAAAAAAATGCACACTTGGAAGTAGGAAACCAAGTTTCTCTATCAGTTGCAAGTTGAAGGAGCAACAAATTATCACACACATACACATCCCTGAAACTTGAGTACTATGAGCCTTGGAGTCGGCGGTCAACTGAAAAACTAAGACAAGATAACTTACCTTGGCATTCTTGCCCTTGGGGGCTTTCTTGTCAACTTTGACCGCCGTGCACCTCTTTTCCTCTTCCTATGGACCACTTAAAAAGATTATATAAGCAAAAATCTGCTAAACCCATCTCAGATGATTAACAACATAACAACATATTACATAACAAGTTAAACTTCCAGTCCAAAATTGAAAGTAACAAATAAAGATCAAAATCAGTGGAAATAGAAACAGACCTGAACAAAGTGAAGATAATGCTTGTTGAACAACCTTATAGTCTCCTTCACTTTAATATGTGCACTCTTCTCAACAACATTTGGAGCATTGGTAGCATTGGTAGCATTGGTAGCATTAGTACCATCTAGTCCCTCTGCAATTTTGGCAGCTCGTTCTACCATTTTGGCCACTTTCTCGTTCATTTTGGGTTCAGTCTGGTCAGATGAAATCGCAGGAAGTTGTTGAGTACCACTTTGAGCATGTTTTGGTTTTAGGTTTACCTTCTCAGTATCCACATTAACCTTTTTCCTGCTACTTCCTCCATCTGCATGTTCATCGTGGTCCACCCTCCGCTTGACGGAAAGCTCCTTCTCAGCTCTTTGTTTGGCGGCTTGTAGTCTGGCACTTGCTCTCCTTTGTCCGGAGACTGACAAACCTTTCCCTTGAGTATTCACTCTTCTGCTACCGTTTTTAGGCGTTGGGACAGAACTCTCCACCGAATGCGGCGATTGAACCACCATTTTGAAAATCTAAAAAATGGGTAAGGAAGCGATGATGAAATGAATGAATGGAAGGTGGAGATGGAAAGTTAGGGTTAGGAGAGGGAGAGGAAAAGACAAGAAACAAGGATTTGAGTGACAGTGAGGTCAGGTCAGAAACTCACAGTCGCAGCAGAGAGCAGGGCAGGGAATCCCAATTCATCACCAATCACCAATAATAATAAAATTAAAAAGAAAAGACGGGGAAGGAGGGAAGATGGAGAGTCTTTTTTTTTTTTTTTCCAATTTTTAGAACCCAGGATCTGATACGATAGACTTTTTAAATTTTTATTGCCCTTTTGTTTGTATTATTATTATTATTATTGTTATTAGGTAGTAGTTTTAATTTTCCTTTTCTGTCCTTTTTCTTTTTTGATCTCCTTCCTTTCTTCCTCTTCCCTCCTAATTTTGTGCGAGGCAGAAATGAAAGGAAATCTGTAAGTAGATGATGATCCAGTGAATTTTGATGTATGTGAAATTGCCAAATCAAGTATCATCAACCATGTAGTACTAGCGAAGTAAAACATCTATATTACTTGATTAGGGTGCGGGGACCATCGATTATGTCTCCTCTATGTCAATAATTATATATATTTGTAAGCGCAACAGATTTTTTTATTTTTATTTATATATTAATAATTAATGTGTGCATATTAAAGTTCTTGTTATAAAGAATATATTATTGTTTATGTTATCAAATCATTCATTTTGCAAATTTTAATTCAATTATTAATAACTTAGATTATAATTTATTTATATAATCAGACTCATTTCATTTTTATTTAAATGATTATATATAAATATATTATATTTGCAACACCGTCTAAAGCACGTATACATAAAATCTAAAGTCAGGTTAAAAAACGAACCCAAACCCTAAAACCAACCTCGTTAACAAGGCTGGTGGACTCTTGCTAAAGCAAGTGCATGGGACAATGGAGAACTCTGCAGCATCATTTGGCCCGTTGGGCTATTTGTTTTCGAGTCTGCTTTTCTTTTTTATGCTTCCTGGAGGCCTGCAATCGCAGACACACGGAATACAAACTCCAAGGGTCAAAGCCCAAACGTAATTTTATGCCCATTAAGCTGGTAAGTAAAAGGAAAAAATTTCTTGTTATTTTATAAAAATATATAAAAATCAAATTTTTTTATTAAAAAATATTTAACGTGGCTGACTTATAATATTACAATGAGAACAGTTTTAAGCAATAACGTGTCCCGTATTAATTATATTTATTTTTTTAATCGATATGAATTAAATTGATTTTATATAAATTTTAAAATATTTTAATGCATTAGTTATATTTTTTAAAATTTTTAATTGATTTATTTTTATTTTTAATAAAATATCATAAATTATATATAAAAGCCAAATAAATGATACATTATAATTAAAAAGTTTATTAATGATTCGAAAAATTAATAAACATTGTAATTACAGTTATGAAAGATTTTGTTTATTGATTCAAAGTATTTATATTGAAATCTAATTAGAAATATAATAACAAAAAGTTTAATAACTAGTATAATTATGGTCAAAAAAGGGTTGACTTCTTAATCAATTGTTTGATACATTAATATTTAATTAAATGTAATATCCAATTGAATAATTGATGTTATTCATGTATAAATATATATAAATAATATAATGATTTTAAGTCATGTTTAATACATAAATTATTAATAGGATACGATACTAATCATCTTACATAATGTTTGATTTATCTAAAGAGAATAATAAGAAATGTAAGAAAAATTAATATTCTTTTGGCATAAGATTTTTCAATCCTCCCTAAGTTGATAAAATTATTTTTAATCGATATGATTAAATTTATATGTTTAATTAGTTGCAAAGTTAATGATGGAAATGAACCTTTTGTTTATTGCATTAATGGCCAAAACCATCATAAAATTGGATTTTTGTTGCCTACAGAGGGCAAGTACTTAAAATTGCGAAACTTTACATATATAACATGGAAAAAAAATCAAATACTTAAATTTGCATGACTTTACATATGAGATCTCCAATAGATTATGTGTCATGTATTTTGGCAATTTTCAAAGTGACCTTTGTATTAAGGTATTAAACGGACTTCTTAAGATGTTGGACCAACACAACTCCCTGAAAGTTTTTTGAATGACCAAAGATGGATTTAAGAAAATTGATTTTCATCTAATAAAAATAAGATTGCTTGGAAAATGTAAAAGAGGTGGTACAAAATATAATCTTTCATCTGGTTTTGAAGTTGCAACACTTATTGTTGGTGATGGAAACCAATCATCTCGAGATGAAGACATTCTTGTTAAAGAATATGGAGTTGGTTTAGGAAGGATAAAATAAATTTATCTTAGGTTTATGACAATGCAATCATATATAATATTATATTACATAATAAAAGTATTGCTTACATGGATCATACGAGGATAGTTTTACTATTTGACATGTAAGAAATTACTCAAAAATTTGCTTACATGGATATTTATGTTGATAATTTTTAAATTGTTGACAACAAAATCTAATTTAGATATATTATCATTTTAAATAAAATGAATTTTCTAATAATCCATAAATATATTTAAAATTTAAGATTTTCAAATATAATACATTATCTTTTTAAGTTTTATTTTTTTGACATGTAATAAATCATATATAATATTATATTACAACATACATAAAAACATAATAAAATTTGCTTAAGTGGATGTTTAAGTAGACAATTTATATTATTGACGCGTAAGATAATTCTAAATAACTTTATTTAATCAATTATTCTATTTTTAAAAATTTTAAAGTTTCAAAATTTACATTTATCAAAGTCCTTCAAAATATTTAAGTTTTATTCTAATTTAAATCCAAAAAATATATTTCATACCTTACTCTTACCTTTATATGATATACAAAATTTAAATAGTTTTTAAAGGTTAAATTCCTAAATTTTAGAAGCGATAAAAAATCATATATCATCTACATCAATATTACATAAATTTAAATAAATAAAATTCATTGTTAAATCATTGTTGTTTACCAATTTTTTCTATCTTTATTTTCCTATGATGTAAAATAAAAGAGAAATATATTTTATATCAATTTAAAATTACACATTTAATTTTTAAAATTATATTTTGACCAAATTATTTACAATTTTATTTAATTGTTAAAATCATAAATCTTAATTTAAACCTACAATCATATTATAAAATAGTACCATTTTTCTTAGAAAAAAAAATATATCATTTAATAATTTAATATATAAGCATGTAATCACAATACATATAAGCCACTTTTCTTTTGACAATTTTGGACTTTGAATAGTATTTATATTGGTTTTGAAACGTTAAATTTAATTATGAATATTATGAATCTATTTGATTTTTATAAAAAATATTGAATTTAAAATCATATAAATAATAATCTTTACCTCCATTAATTGAATGGTAAATCCTAATTATTAGGCTAAATTTCTTTTTATTTTCATTAAAATTTCAAATTAAAATTTATAAATTTACTACCCAAAAATTTTAAAGAAAAACGAAATTAAAGTTTTCAACTTATAAATAATATTTATAAGTGTAAATCTTAGTTTTCACACTAAAATAATGTATACTTTTAAGAGTGTATGTAATTATGAATAAGAGATTGACTTTTTTTATTGAGTTTTTGTATTTTTATTTTCATAATTCAAAGAAATTTTATTGAAATAAAAATTTTCAAAACTTGCACAATGCTTATTTGGATTTTTTTCATAATGATTTATATATAGACAACTTTTGTAATTTTTTACTACAAATTATAGATGATTATGAATATTTTGTTTATATATAATATACAAATTAGTATAAATTAAAATTTTAAATTATAAAAAATATAATAAAAATTTCATTTATGACATAGGTAAAAAACCCAGTTACTCAATAAATTTGCTTATTTGAATATCCTAAGTAAGTAAATTTTAAATTGTTGGCAACAAAATTTAATTTAAATATATTTTCTTTTCAAATAAATTTCATAATAATTTAGATATATTTTTAAATTTAAAAATTTCAAATGCAATAACATATTATCTTTTATATATTACAAGGTATGTTACCAAAAATATGTGTAGACGTAAACATCTATATGAATAACTTATTTTTATAACAAGTAGGATATATTTCAAATTAAAAAAATAATATTTATTTTAAAAATTTAAAAATATCTAAAATAGACATCCAATTTAATACACGTTACAAACACAAATTGATTTACAAATAAATTTTTATTTTAATTTACAAATCCCAAATATAATTTCTATCTTCATAAAATTTCTTATAATTATCTTTTATTAATTGATTTTTTTAAAGTAAAAAATACACATATCTATTATGTACTACTTTTAAATTCAAAAAATAGTTAGTAATTCTAAAGTCATCTATACCTTTTATCATTCAAAATTCCTACATATATATATATATATATATATATATATATATATACCACATACATATATGTCGTGTATCCTTCATCAAAATTTTTTTTTTTGCAACTTTTCTTTTAAAGCTATATTACTATTGTGATTTTATTCTTAAGATCATTTTTTTTTCAATTTATTTTTTATTTTAACATGCATTTGCTAAACATTTACATGTTTTATTCAATAAATTAATCAAGAATGTGAAAGAATGTAAACATTTTTTATAAATATATTTTGTTTTTTTAAATAATATACTTTGCTTTTCTTAAAAAATAATTTTATGTACGTTAATTTTTTTTATATGCATCTTCTTATCTTTTTTAATTTTTTAGCATTGTGATTAAAATTATAATAGTAATGATATGTCAAATAATTTTTTATAATTTAATTATCTTTTCAATCAAAATTTCTTAAAAAAAAAAAAGTTAGCACAAGAAATGATTTGTCAAAAACGCCAATGGTGATGTAGTCCACCAATAAGCACACTATATGATAAAATCTAAAGTAGATTTAATTTAATTCATCATTTTTTTTTATTTTACTTATTTATTATGATATTTACAATAACAATTTAATTTAATTTAATAATAATTTACTTATTTATTTTGATTTTAATTTAATTTATGTTTATGCATACATATTTAAGTAAATAAAATTAGTCAATATATCGCACCAATCATAAATCAGTATCCAATATTATTTTTTTATACAAAATATTTTTATTAAAGTGATATTGAGTATGCTAATGCAGATGAAACAATTATCACTATATCAATTATAATTATCAAGAATAAGCATATCAATTACCGTAAATAAGCACATTCTCGATAAAAAAAAATTTGAACATGAGATTGATTTTAAAACTTCTAAAGTTTTAATTTTTTAAAATAAAAAATTATTATCTTTTGTTTTCGTGCATGACACGCTTAAAAACTTATATTATTGATTTTAAAACTTTTAAATTTAAATTTAAATTTTTTAAAATCAAAATATTATTATCTTTTGTTTTTGTGCATAACACGCTTAAAAACTTATATTACCATTTAAAAAAAATTAGTTTATATTACCATTTAAAAATGTTTTATTACCTTTTAAACAAATTACAAATAAATTTAATAATACATAAACATATTTTCGTGTATAGCACGTGTTTAGATCTTATTTGTATAAATTTATTGATATATAACCGTACTACCGTTCATGGCACGAGTTTAAGCCTTATTTGTTTAATTTTACAACAATTATCAAAAACATATCTCCTTTTTTCCTCTCGAGTTCCCGATATTTGTTGGTGATTGATTTCCTAAATTCGAAGAATTTTGAAGGAAAAAATAATATAAAAACAAAGAAAGCTCCCTCTTTGTGAATCGAATCGATGATGCTGAGAGTGGCGACGAGGAGGCTCTCTTCTCTCACTTCATGTCCGTTTGCGTGGAGGCCCCACCAGGCTTCTTCCGCAATCCTCTCGCACCCTTTAATCAACTGCGCCGATTCTTCCGATGATCTCAGATCCAGCTCCGCTTTCTCTTTCGCTTCTCACTTCCTTCTTCCCACCAGAGGTTAGGTTTTCCTTTTGCCTATTAAAGTTCTTCACTTTGTTTCATGTTTTTATCCGTCTAGGGCTGTTCATAACCAATACTAATCGTATTAGTGAGGTTGCTGTCATATTCGTATTCAAATTCTAAGTAATCAACTTTAATACGAGTTCATGTTTTATTCTGTATCATTTTGAAATTTCTTTTGGTTTGGATAAGTTAATAATGAATTTTTAAATTTACATACATCGTTTGTGGAATTTAGGGGAATGCTCAAATTAATCAAAATATGATGATTTTTTTTTATCAAAACTTGTCCATAAGGGTTTCAGACTTACCAAATTAGACACCCATGTTTTTGAAGATGAAAAAAATTTGATATTTAGGGCAAGGCAAGAAAGTAAGACTGAAATGTCTGCCTTTGTTGGTCTAAGTTGGCTGCTATGCTTTCTTCACTTTCCTCTTCTTCATATCATCTGTAACTTTTACCAATTAATACAGAGGATTTATCTGATATTGTGTTTCTTTACAAGTTATGTTGCCAATTTACAAAATTAATGCTCGATAATATCTTTGTGAAGTAAACCTCCTGATTATGAAGTCATTTTTTTCACTTTTGAGAACCAATATTTACAAAACTTGCAATAGAGGCTTGATTCTAGGATTTCTGTACCCAAATCGTGGTTGCTTGAACTATCCCGTACTTTTTCATGTCCATGAATTGATTTTTACCATATATTATTCTTCCTTTCCTGGAATTCACCTACTGGAATTGTTAACAAAGTTGTTTTTGTCATGTTGTGTTTATTCTCTAAAGAAATGGTTTCTGATGTTTGCTTCAGGTTTTGCTTCTGAGTCACTCACCCCAAAAAGTGAAAAAAGTGTGATTCCTGATGCTCCATCAACAGTGAAAGCTATTAAGAACCCCACTTCTAAAATAGTCTATGATGAATACAACCACGAACGTTTTCCTCCAGGTGACCCCAGCAAGCGGGCATTTGCTTATTTTGTCCTGACTGGTGGTAGGTTCGTATATGCATCTCTTATCCGTCTACTTATCCTAAAGTTTGTGCTGAGCATGTCAGCCAGTAAGGATGTTCTTGCAATGGCTTCTCTTGAGGTTGATCTCTCCAGCATTGAACCTGGCAGCACTGTAACTGTTAAGTGGCGTGGAAAGCCAGTCTTTATCAGGCGCAGAACAGAGGAGGATATCAAGCTGGCAAACAGTGTTGATTTAGGATCTCTTCGTGATCCACAAGAGGATGCTGTCAGGGTTAAGAATCCAGAGTGGCTAATTGTTGTTGGGGTCTGCACACATCTGGGTTGCATTCCCCTACCAAATGCCGGTGATTTTGGTGGATGGTTCTGCCCTTGCCATGGTTCTCATTACGATGTCTCTGGCAGGATACGCAAGGGGCCAGCACCGTACAACCTGGAGGTACCCACTTACACCTTCTTGGATGAGAACAAGTTGCTGATCGGTTGAGAATAGCAGTGTAATCAAACATAGGTCGCATGGAATCTGCTAAGTTTTAAATTTTATCAGATAATGCTAAAGACTTGTTTCAGATCTTTGCTTTTGCTGCCCTTGATTTTCAGGGCACTGTTGGGGGGTTTTTTTTTATGGCTGCTGCCAGTTGGTTTTGTTCTTAATTTTGAATAAGTTCCCTGGATTTTGCTGAGCGTTGGTGCTCTTTAGACCGACTGTTCCAGGATGCTGTTATTTAATTTTTTGGATTACATATTGTACCATAATGGTGCTCCATTCTGTCCTTAAACATTTCCAGCAAAACCTTAGGGATCAGATCATATGCATAAACCAAGCAAATAGAGTATCATCATTCGTGGGAGAGAAGCATCATGGATGTTAAGCATTTTTCAAAATTTGCAGCATACAAGACAAGCAGCCATTAATTTATGGATAATCACAAAATTTTTAGGGAACACAGATGACAAAGTCTATGCCCAGAAGTCTCCTATTTAAAAGGCTAAAAAACATACACCCAGAAGTGCATTTCAGCGAAGGGTCAAGTTGCAATGTCATCTCTCGAAGATGCCCTTTACATAGACCATTCCTTTTTCGCTAAGCTTGAGTTCTTTTCTCATTTGATCTATTTGCTGGTCATCACCCCGAACTACAATCTCAGACAGAGTTCCATCCTCGCCAACCAACATTTTAACCTTGATCTGCTCCTTTCTTGATGCCCGCTTCCAGTAATAAGCTCCTCTGCATTCCATTCAAGTGTATTAACTTCCAAATACAGTGTCAACGAAAAGGAGTAAGGAAGATCTTGAGTGGGGAACAAAAGAAAATATTGGTGTTTCAAAGTGCACGTGCTTACGCCAATGGACTTAGAACAGTGATCCAGAACCAGTTATTCCCGACATCTGGAACTGTTATGGTGAGCACAAGTGCAACGCTTGCAAGGCTAATGCAGGTGCAGAATGTCAATAATGCTGCTTGTCCTCGGCTCGGAACCATCGTTCCTTCAAATCTTAAAAAACAAAAGCAGTTGCCACTGTTTTAGTTTATAAAAATCTCCTTTTCTTTATCCTAATCTTACAGTGAAAAATGCATCCCACTTTAATAAGCATTATTGGCTGCAATGCATGGTGGGAACTGGAGGTCAAAGGCTCAAATTTTTTTAACCAAATATACATTGCATCCTAAAAGATAAGAGGATTACTCCGTGGTGGTAAAGCTTACGTGATAGTCTCTCCCCTATCAGTTACCACAAAATTGTTGCGAGTGAAGAAAGATAAAATTTCTCCAGCAACTTGATTTGGTGCCTTCTTCTCTGCCTCTTCTCCTATAAATGTCTTCTGCACTATCTGAAACGGTGTTCGAACCAAATTAGCTGTGCAATATTAGAAACGAAAAAAATTCTCAGCCCTGCAATTTCGCTACCTTTTTAAAACAACAACTACTTAGCACAAAATTGATGAAGAAAATGAATTGAACAGGCTCTACCGGTTAAAATTAAAAAACAAAAAAAAAGGGGAAAGATACCTTGGATTTTACAGAGCGTTTGATAAGAGACCAAAGGCCAGGAACAGAGATGACAAAGAGACCAAGAGAGGTGTAGTAGCTAGCCAAGGAATAGCCCGCACTCCCCGCCAGTAGAAATATCGAATCTGGATTTTGTTGGTGAGGTTGGAGAAGGTCCGCAAGAGCAGAAGAGGCTATGATGGTTTGTTGTAAGGAGAGTCGAGGAAGCAGCTGTCTCTGGGGTCTCACATGGGTTGAATCCCGTCCTAGCCATGGCCGGTGTTGGTGCAGGCGGCCGCTGCATTTAGAAGGAAAGAAGGAGGAGAGAGCTTGTGGATGTGGTGATATTATCTTTGTTGCCATATCCTTCCCAAGGTTGCACAACCAAATGAACCACGTCACCTGGGATTACGCACTTTATTGGTCAACCACTTGAATGGCCCACGTTTAGTTTAACCATCTCTTGCTTCAAACCATACGTAGTTTTGTGTCTACAACTTACAGGCTTATCACGTGGAGACTTTGTATACTAACGATAATAATTATTATTATTAAATTGTTTCGGTTGTTTTTTTTATAAAAAAATCTTGATCATTTATTAAATTTATTTTAAATTTTGATTTGTATTATTAATATATATTTATGTATATTTTTTGGATTGCTTTGTTCTTAAGAAATTTTTGTTTTCCTTTTGTTTTGTTTTTTTTTTTTGGGGGATTTAGTTATGAAATTTTTATATGATGTTTTAATAATTGATTTAGAATCTCGGTGCTAGACATGCACATGAAAGGCTTCTTTGTTAAACAAAATTATTTTTTTTAATTTGCTAATAAAATCAAATTCTATTATTGGAATGAATTCCCTTTTGATATCATACATTAAATGGAAATAGGTATTGATGCTATTTCTATGTTGTATTGAACACAATGGTCTCCGCTGTCCCAAGTAGTAAATATGAAATATTTTTCGAAGTAAGGTTGTAGGAAGAAAGTAGACATGGATTAGACTTTGGATATGTTTTTTCAAACCAATATCTAGTCCAAAATATTTTTTAATTAATAAATTTTTTTTTTTTAATTTTAAACATTTTTAATGATATTAAAAATTTTCGTCCAAACTAATTATAAATTAGTAAGTTAATGTTATGAGTCAAGTGACGTAATAACAAATAAGTAATCATAGATATTTTATTCTTTTAATAATTTTTAACAAAACAATCCTTTAAAAAAAAAAAAAAACTTTCCGAATCTTATAAAGAAAACTACTTATATAATTAACTTAAAAAAAAAAAACTGCTTATATATATTTTTAAAAACCCCACATGGTGGGTGTACTGGATTTTAATTTTTTTAAAAAATATTTTATATTTTTCATTCTAAGATAAAAGTTTTCAAAAATTAGCCGAATCTATCTCACTCTTGAACGTCTCAAGAAAGAAGTAATATTATAATAATAAATTGAAAAGAAATGATAGATGCTAAGATTTGATAGGCAAAAATAAAGGATGAAATTGAAAAATTGGAGATAAGGTGGGTTGACTAAATAGTATAAATATCGCATATTCGAAAGAGAAGAGCAGGAGGGTTGGTGATTTAAAATGTGACATAGTGGTTTTGTTAAAAATTTTAGTAATAATTATATATAAATTTAATAAAATTAAAAAATATATTTTATATTTTTATGTAAATATGAATTATAATATATATTTTTTAATATTTTATAAAATAAAAATATATGAATTTGTATAAAAAAGTATAAATGCATAATATCATAACTAAGTAAAATAATTTGAGTGAAAAAAAAAAAAAAAGGAAAACTAATAAGAATAAGAATAAGAAAAGGATAAACGTTTACTTGTGAGACCCAAAAGTCTACGGAATCCAATGACTATGTATTGCCGTCAAGCCCTTCCCTAAGCCCTAAGCTAAGCCCACTTAAGAATCAAGCTCAAGGTAATGTTACTGTTAGGCTACTAGCTCAAGGGCAAGGCTAAAGTCGCCGAGCCGAAATAAAATACTAGTCTAAATCCTACTAAATTCTAAAACAATTCAAATGATTTAGAAATGAAAAAAATTGACCATTTTTTTTAGGGATATTTTCTTAAAAATTTTTGTGATCACGAAGTAGAAGACGAAATTCACTTTTTTTTTAATGTGCACTTGTGCCTTTAATAAATACCAAACCATGAAATTTCATTTCTTTTATTTCATGCACCGATTTCTTTCAGAAAAGAAAAACGAAAATAAAACAATTATTTTATAATTATTTTAATACAAAAATCATATAAATTACAAGATATATGAATATTTGATAAAATATTTCATGTGAACATTAATATGATAATCTTATTTATGACATATAAAATAATAATTTAATTTTAACTTTTTATCGAATAATTTTATTAAATTAATAATTAAATTTTTAAAATTTAAATTTATTTAAATCTTTCAAACAGTTTTTTTAATTTAAATCAGATAAAATTTATCTAAAAACTCACTCATTCCAAATATATATTTACAATATTTAAAATTTAAATACCTTTTTCGTATTAAATTTTTAAATATTAGAAACTATTAATAGTAGTATAAGTTTGCCGGAAGATGCCCGTGAAACTGAAGATCGGTTTGCTATCTTTCAATATAAGATCAACTATGTTTCGGGTTGAGGAATGCCCCCTGTCACTCAATACTTGGTTGATGCAGACTGTAATGGAATTTTTTTATGAATGGAAATCCTTCATTTCGTAACACCACACCCCCCCCCCCCCCCAAAAAAAAAAAAAAACTACCAATTCCATAATTCAAATATGTACCTCATTTGTAAAGAATTTAATTCTTTTTTATCATTTGTTATATTATTTTTAAATTCAAAAATAAATCCTTACATCTTAATTATAATCTATTAGTTATCTTAAGTCATTAAATAGTATGTACTATATATATTTTTAATTTTTTTTGGATAAGTATCATGTTTATTATCCAAGAGAGCAGAAAACTACTACAAAATACATGTACAGCTGTTTCAATATTTACATTTCAAATATATCTCTACTTAACTCCCAACTCTCACTCAATTCCTGATTTACATAATCAAAAGCAATACTCTTCAATCACATTACTCTTAACTTGACTATCTCTTTGATTTGCTTTAAAATCATCTTTCCTGTTAATGCTTCTGACTTGTATATTCTTCTGTTTCTCTCTGTCCATATCTCGTAAATGTATGCTCCTCAAGCCAACTAAAGCATAATAGAAATCAATGCCTTCCTTTTAAGCTTGGCAACAACCCACTGGAACTCAGCTTCCCATCCAACTACTTCTCGTCTTAGGTTACATAGCAACAGTACCTCTTTTCATACCTTTTTTAAATAGCTGCAACTAAAGAAAATATGGTATCTGCTTTCTTTCTCTTGCTTATATAATACACAAATCTCATCTACAAGAATCCTTCATGTAATTAATTTGTCCTTAGTAAAGAGTTTATTGAGAATGGCCATCCAAGTTATTATAACAAACTTAGGAATATGTAGCTTGCACCAAACAAGTTTATGCCAGTTTACTTTTGGCTGCCTTTGTCTTATTTCATCCCACACTTTAGCAACTGAAAAACCTGACCCTTTGGTTTGCCATATCACTCCATTTTTTATCTGTAACAAAAATCTAGTCGTAATGCTTTTCATTTGCATCAGCTTCCTCATGCACCAGTTTTGACCCTGTGCTATTTGCAACTCCCATATGTTTTTCTTTTTAAGAACATAGCACTGCACCTATGCTATCCATAATGAGCCAGCTTGTGTGAAAATATACCATAGCAATCTAAGCATGTGAGCTTTGTTCCAACTTTCTACATCTTTTAGTCTTAAGCCCCCCTCAGACTTAGGCTTACACACTATCTGCCACTTTACCCTTACTCCCTTAGTTGTACCTTTCTGACTTTTCTAGAAAAAAATACAGCATAGCTGATTAATCTTTTTAATGACCGTCTTAGGCAATATAAAATGTCTGCACCAATAATTGTGTAGGCTAAATATTACAGACTGAATTAATTGTATTATACCAGTATAAGATAGATGCCTTGATGCTCAGCTGTGTATTCTAGCTATAATTTTTTCAATTAACAAGGTGCGATCTGTCATAGTGAGCTTGCGTGTGACCAGTGGCATTCCTAAATATCTGACAGGGAGAAAACCCAACTTAAAACTTGTTGTTTGTAAAATTTCTTCAAGCTTTTCTTTTTAAATCCCTGAGTAAAATATCTCACTTTTTGCACAATTTACTTGAAGTTCAGAAAATGTATAAAACAACTGTAAAACATTTTGGATGCTAAAAACATAATTCAACTCCCCTTTCATAAATATTAGTAAATCATTGGCAAATCACAAATGTGTCAATTGTATTTTCTTGCACTTTGGATGATATGAGAATATACCATATGAACCTGTAATGTCTAGTAACTTTGTTAGCACATTCATTACTATCACAAACAAGTATGGTGACATAAGATCCCCTTGTCTTACTCTTTTTGCACTTTTAAAGTATCCCACTAACCCTTCATTAATAGATAGAGAAAACATGAGTGAAGTGAGATAGCTTTTGATCTAGCCTATAAATTTTCTTGGAAAACCCATTGCCTCAAGGATAGCAGGCAAAAACTTTCAGTGTACAGAATCAAAAGCTTTATTTAAATCTATCTTTATGGCACACCTTAGGGAAAACATGGTTTTATTGTACCCTTTCACTAATTATTGAGCCAGTAGCACATTTTCGATAATGCTTCTTCATTTTATAAAAGCACTTTGGCTTATGCTAATAAGATTTAGCAAGTACCTTTACTTTTTGCTCGCTAGTATTCGAGTTATACCTTTGTAGATAACAGAGTAGCATGAAATTGGCTTGTAATCCGAAATGCTAGTTGGGCTTTGACATTTAGGTACTAATGTTATTATAGTAAAGTTGAAAGTAGGTAACAAGTCATGGGTGTTGAAAAAATACATTATTACTATTGTCACATCTCTTCATACTATATTCTAAGCTGATTTAAAGAATTGTGCATTATAACCATCTAGCTCTAGTGCCTTATCACTGTGCTGAGAAAATATGATTTTCTTTATCTTTTTTATAGTTACATCTTGGGATAGGACTGCTTGTTATTTTTCAGTCAAGTAACCTTGAAGAATATCTGTAATTAACCCTTTTGAGTAGCCTTCAACTTTAATATCCTCTATTCTCAATAGTTTTTTAAAAAATCTCACAGCCTTTATAAAAATCTGAGAGAAAGTGTTCAGCTTTATACCCTCATTGTTATATAACACCCTAATAGTGCTTATTTTTTGCTTGACTGCCACCATGTTATGGAATAACTTTGTGTTTTGGTCCCTTTCTTGTATCCATTGGATCATGGATTTTTATTTATCTCCTCATATTTTAGCAATTTTTGAAGCTCTAGTAAAAGCCTCTTCTTATTTTCAACATAAACACTTAATGGTTGCATAAGTGCAGCAATTTACGTTTATGTCAGTTCCTCTTTTTTCCTTTTAACTTTTTCTGTCAAATCACCAAAATGTATGAAATTGAACCTCTTTAGCTTTGCCTTTAATCTTTTTAACTTATTATGCAATATAGTCATAGGTGTCCCAATGGTTTGCACTTTCCATGACTCTTCTACTATTTTCAAAAAATTTGGATGCTTTATCCAAAAATTAGAGAACTTGAATGGCTTTGGTGGGGACTGCCTTTGGACATTTAACTTAATCAAAGCTGGGCAATGGTCTGAAACTTTAGGTAGAAAAAATTCAACTGTCGAGTTTGGCCATTGTAAAAGCCATGCATCATTAATTAGAACTCTGTCCAACTTCCTAGATAATGTATGGTTACTCTATGTAAATAATAGCCTTGTACATGAGTGATCCAATACAACTAGCTTTTGAATATACTCATTCAATTTTTTAGTACTTTAGCTTGCTATCTGGGAACCATTATAGTCAAAACTTTTCATAAGATGGGCTATCACATTGAAATTTCCTACTAATATCCATGAGCTGTTATCAACTACACTTTGGAGTGAGATTAAATTTGTCCATAATCTTCTTTATTCTCTTTCACTATTGTATCCATAAATGGTAGTAAGATATATCACTTATGTCCCATACATGATTTTTCAAGTGATACTTTGATCATTGTCTGTTACTAATTCCACATGCAATTTAGACTTTCACAGCAGCCATATTCGATCATTATAAGTTGTAAAGTAATTATTGTAGAGAGACCAACCAGAAAAATGAATGAGAGAGACTTGCATCATATTTTGTTACTTTATCCTAGTTTCTAATAAGCAAGCTACATCAACTTGAGCTTGCCTAATCCTGTCTACAGCCTCCTTTTACTTCGGAAAAGCATTAAACCCTCTGACATTCCAACTAAGGATGTTCATGAAGAAAGAGAAAAAGATGATATACCTCTTAAGGTAGATAGATCTACTTTTACTTTGTTTTTCCCCTTATCAATAAGTCATCTTTTCTTATTCTTTAACTACTTCATTAAATCTACAACTCCAGTTGATATTGCATTTACTTTTCTTGGTAAGTTGATAACTGGCTCAACCTTTTTTGTCTCTCGAGATTCTACCTTCACCAGGTAGATAGATATACTTTTACTTTATTTTTTCCTTTATCAATAAGTCATCTTTTCTTATTCTTCAACTATTTCATTAAGTTTGCAACTTTAGTTGATATTGTATTTACTTTTCTTGGTAAGTTGATAACTGGCTCAACCCTTTTTGTCTCTCAAGATTCTACCATCGCCAGGTCCACTTGAGCATCATCATTCATTTTATCATTCTCAACAATTGTTTCCAATATAGCAAATCTATTTGCTGAAGCAAAATGCACAACTTGTTTTGCCTTAATTCTGGCATTTTCCAATGCAACAACCTTTTTTTTTTCTTTTCTCAGTTCCTTCTTTGGCACATTATTTTGTTTTTTAGGCTGTCACACCTTTGTTTCTATAGCCATTGGCTTATTCATACAAACTTTATTTAAATGCCCTAATATATTGCAACACTGATAGCGTGGAGGCATCCATGGTACCTTTACCAACACCAAAACAAGTGTTCCATTTCTTAAGATTACATCTATAAATCGAGGGACCTCAACATTTACCTCTATCTCCACACAAATCTTTGCATAAGCTAGCCTCTTACAATTTGCTATAATTTTATCCATGTATAGTAATGGTACACCAATGGCACTTGCTATATAGCTTAGCCCTTTCTTTGTGTAGAACTCCAATGGCACATTATACAGATGTATCCAAATAGGTAACCTGTTCATATGAAACTTCAAACTTTTCATCCTTGGTTCTCATTTTTGAATTATGATAGGCTTGTTCTGAATATGCCAATGCCCTGATTCTAGTACTCTATCACAATCCAGCTTAGAAGAGAATTGCAATAAGAACAAGTTATTCCCTGCTAGTTTGATTATCATTATTTCCTCATTTCCCCACAATATACTAACCAGTCGCTAAAACATCATCCGATGGCTTCACTAAGATCTTTCCATTTTCCTTTTGTGGGGGAAAAAACTACAACGATTGATCTTTTGACATTGAGAAAAGATTTCTCCAATTTGCAGCTATCTTTTACACAAAAGCTCCATTTGTGAGGTTTGTATTGCTAGTATTCGATGATCCTTCCATGTCTACCTCCCAATTTGACAAGATGATAATAGTAAGAAAATGAGTGGTTTAACAAGAAAATTGGCGATTAAAAAAGAAAATTGATAGTTTAAAAAGAAAAAGATGACAGTTGGGTGAGAAAATTTTCAATGCAAGAGAGACCCACTCATGTGAGTTGAGAGAATATTCCATTTCCTAATGTCTAAGTGTTTTCATGATTCCAATTCTTGGTATGGCTAGAAATTTTCAATTTCATATGGAATGGTTTTGATCAAAAAAATTGCATTTGAATATCACCCATGTTACAATTTCATGAATAAAATATTACTATGATCTTTACAGCTGCAAATTTGTTTTATTTTTAATTTTTTCAATTTAAAACTTACTTTAAAAAAATATTATATTAACTATTATAATTTTATTCGTATAAAAAATAAAAATTTTCAACCATTCATTTGCTCTTAGGTATCTAAAAATTGTTATTAATAAATGAGTCAATTTAAAATTTCAAATATTCTCGGTTTGATAAAAATCCGTTACATCTTCATTTTTTTTATAAAAGTTGACAAATAAATTGATCATAGCCATTTATGACCAAAAAATGTAAAATGCAAACAGAACATGAGGAGTGAAAAAATGGGAGATAGAGAGATAACAATTATCAAGTTACTTATATTACTTGAACATATTAAGTTATAGTTTATTTCAAATCCAAATAATTTATCATTATTTGATATAAATTTATAAGAGTATAAATATTATTATAGATAAAGATAGTGAAAATTGAAAAAAAAATTAATTTTACTTAATATAAACTTTTATTTATTTGATTTTTTTCTTTCTAAATAATATTGTTTAATAAATATTTGAAATTTTATCACTTTTAAATTTTTTTTAAAATTTAATTTTTTTGATTTATTAGGATATATAAAATTTGAAGACTTAAATATAATTTTGAAAAGAATTTTAATTTATGTGTATGGTACATATTTAAATAGGTAAAATTAATATGTGAATTACAAAAGTGACAAAACAATTCTCAATATTTTAAGAAAACATATTTATTCTTTTGGTAAAAAAACATGTAATTACATGTGATTTTGCATGACAAGTAGAAAAGTTAATCTGACATAAAATCAACGATTTTTACTCGATTTAATATTTTAGACTCGATTTTTTTAAAAAATTAAATATTAAATCAAGTGATATAAAAAAAAATTTGAGATTAAATTGAGATTGAGTTTTAGGTAAATTTAATTATATCTGATTCGATATATATATATATAAATAATTTTTTAATAATTTATTTAATTTTATATTTATATATAATTTTATATTTATATTAAAAAATAATATTTTATTAATTTTGAGTCTAATCAAAATCGAATATAATTTTATATAATATCGAATCGAATCAAATTTAAATATAAAAATTAAAAATTTTTATTAAATCAGATTAAATTTAAATTTTATATATTTAAAATTAAATTAAATTTAAAGTGAGTAAAAACTCGTTTTGACTCTATCACTAACGACAATGGACAAGGGTCATAAACCATATAATAATAAAATTAAAAGAAAAAGAAAAAGACTGCAGCGACACGAGTAGAGAAGGAGAGCGAACCCAGGAGTCGGGAGCGGCTAGAGCCAGAAGCCAAGAGCGGAGCCCCCTGCGCGCGAATGAACGATTCAATGTTGACATAACGGTTCCGAGAAACTGCAGCCGTCTGATCGCCCCCTCACCCCCTCCCTCTCCAGTCTCCCCTCTTGTTTTCGACTATTCTCTCTCTATTGGATGATAACTCCAAACCCTTTTGTTTTCTTTCTTTCTCTCGCCCTTTCTTTATTACCAATTATCTTTGGTCGCCTAGCCGCCTTCCCGCTTTTCTCTGCCCCCTTTCCTTACCTTCGTTTCCTTCTGTATATGCCTTCGAGAACAATCCACTCTTCCGGCTTCTTTCAAGGTACTGCTTTTTTTTTTCTTAAAGAAAATCCTTTTGGGTTTTGTTCTTTTTAGGGTTCGATTGTTTTTTTTTTTTTTTAATTTATAATAGGAGGAACCTTTATTTCAATGTATCTCCTTTTTGAGGACAAGCTGCTATTTCGGCTTTTGAAATTGTTCTTTGCCTGCTGTTTTTGTGTGTTTTGTCGTTTAAATGCGTCTCTTTTATTTGTGGGTTTTCTTTTTCTGATTGGGGCCATTTTTTTCTTCGATTCTTGCTAATTGTTTCAATTTAAATTGTGTCTGTTTCAATTGTAAAGGTTCTTTTTATTTTTTTTTTGTCTGTATTGAATTGCTGTTGTTATTATTTTTATTATGGATATAGTTTCTATATCTTGCATTATGTACTATGTGCTGTTTACTGAATGCTGAGTTAAATCAATTACTAATAGTACGTTGGCTAAATACTTGGTGTAGATGGAAAGTTTTCTACTTTCTTAACTTTGTTGCCATACTTACTTCCTTTATCTTTAATTCAATTTTTGACTAGCATGACTAAAATAAAAATAGAATCAGTATGCCTCTTTTGGTTTCTTTGGAAGTGGACTATGTCTTCACACTTGATATTGCACAAGCTGCTATGCTTGTGAAGCTCCCTATGTTACTTGAACCTGGAGGCGAATCGCGGATACAGGTATGCTCAATTTTTTCTAAGTTTTTTCATATATTTGGAGAGTCGGGCCTCTATACCCACTTCCGGGAAACAGCTACTTCAAGGAAAATGAAGAGTTTGAGTGACATAGGAAGCTCCTTTTATGGCATATATATTGGTCCAAATCAATAGGGGTTCCATCTTTCTTAAAGAAGAAAGCAAATTAGAAATTCTGAAACATTTTGTTATTGTGTTTAGGGTGGGGTTTGGTTTTGTGGGTTTTTTACAATATCACATCAACTTTTAGTTTTCTGACATGCTTAGGATTTTGTTTTCTGATATATGTTTGAACTGTATATATGAATTTAAAAACACTGGATGTGTTGTGCCTTGCCCTGCTTAAACAGTCTTCTCAGTTGTTGTGATTCCAAGGTGATTCAAATGTGGATGTACTGCTATTCTTTTGATGATTTGAGGGCTTTCCTTGGTGGCTTACAATTCAGTGATGGTTTTCAGTTTGTTCATGCAGGAAGATGTTTGCTGTGTATGATTAAGAACATATCTTCTTGTATATTGCTATGATCTGTTTTTGCCGATTCTTTTGACATCTGGAGTCAATGGCAGCTGATCAACGGAGAAAGCGATTGAACGGTGCTAGCATTGCTGGCCGCAATTCTTGGGACCAATACAGAACCAAAAAGAAAAAACTAGAGTCACTGCAAAATGATTGGAACACTAAATCTTGTATTTCCCTTGAGTGGGATGGGAACCAAAACAAGGTTGTTGCCAAAAGGGATCAAATTGGGTTAAGTCGGAGGCATTTGAGGCCATTTATTGAATCCACACTACATTTCAACAGAGTTTTGGCAGATGTTTTGACTCTTCCTCATGAAACTTTTCACTTGGAGAACTTGACAGAGGTGCTTTCTTATGAGGTAATATTCTTGTTTTTCTTTATCGTAGTTGCTTCTAATGTCCTAACTTGACATAGGTGCTTTCTTATGAGGAAATATTCTTGTTATTCTTTATTATTCTAATGTCCATTGTCTGCTGGTCTCTTGCTTTATGGAATTAACGTTCAAATTGTCACAGGTTTGGCGCACTCATCTGTCTGAAAATGAGAGAAATCTTCTGATTCAGTTTCTTCCTATGGGAATAGACAAAGAGCAGGTTCTGCAAGCATTGCTTGCTGGGGATAACTTTCACTTTGGAAATCCTTTTCTCAAATGGCGAGTATATAAATTTACTTTTAACACTTTTTCCCCTGTGGAGAATGAATCCTCTCTTCTTGTAGTTTCTGTTGGCCATGCACTATATATGTGACAAATACATTTACCCATAAATTCACACATGTTTTGTGCAACTTCTCTACTTGTTATGTGCAAAGAAGTTACAGCTCTTGGGGGTATATCTTTTCTATTTCTCTAGTTCTATATATCAGGAGATATAGTATTTGAGGATTCTAATGTAGAGTAGATATAGTATTTGAGGAATCTACTGTAGAGTTTGAGATTGCTAGATTTGACTTGAATATATGGTTACAGGGGTACATCACTTTGTTTGGGTCATCTTCACCCTGATGCAGTTATTCAAGAGGAACAACGTTCAAAGGCCGAGAAAAAAGCATACTACTTAGAGTTACAGGACTACCATAATGAGTATGTAAAATGTAGACAAATTTACCTATCAATTAAGCTATTCGTGGAAAAGGTGCATTTGGTGCTGATAGTTGCAATATTGTTCTGCTTCTTGTGGTAGTATTATAGATTATTTGCAGAAACTGAAGGAGAAATGGGAGAGCTGCAAAAACCTAGAAGAAGAAATTGTGCAGAAGTTATGGAGGTTTGTATTTGCCACATGTTTCACTTTATGTGTAAGTGATAATTTTTAGCAGAGGAAGGTTCTTCCATTGTGAAATAGGTGCTACCAACTAACATATACATTGGCAAGGATGCTCCTTCAGGAACTTATTTCTCAGATTCATTGTTATAACAGCGTCATAATACAGAATACAATACTATTGGTTGTTCAATTTTGAGCTTTCCTCTTGTAATTGGTTTTTCAAAGCAAAACCAAAGGATTAAATTGTTTTGTTCGCTTTTTATTCAATAGGATTGTTTTTGTGTTTTAGGATCAAATCTCATGTTTGGGTTACATTCAATTTCTTTGGTAGGTCAAGAAGGGTTGGTGAGAAAAGGGCTTTCTCACATTCGAATGAATCAAGGCTTGGCAATGTTGACCAGGATGTTACAGCTACTTCTGAATCTTGTTCTTGGGTTGCAGATGAGAAAGCATGCAGTAGTGATAACCAGAATTCTTCTGTTGTGAAGGGTGGAGAAATACAAAGAAGGTAATGTCTTTCCATGGTGAACCACTATGCTGCATGTATTGTCATTTTGCCCCACTTGTTGAAGTCTCAAGAGTGAGTTTGAACATTGCTTTATTAAAGCATGCTTTGCCTGATTTTTGTAATTCATTTTCCACAGTTCCTCTTCAGGTTCTCGTTTATAACTGCAGAAAGAGAATTTTATTCATTTATTTAGATGATATGTGAGGTGTGTAACCCTCATAATCTTTATAACGGGTTTTACAAAATTTGAATGGTAAGATTTCAATAGAAGGTGACCCTGGACCTTTTTTTCCTCATCCCATCTTTGGTGGAATATCTTTGGATTCTGAGCTAAGAAATTGTAGCCAGTTTATTCTTTTGTAGAGTAGTTTGCTTGTTGGCTCTTTTTGCAGTACATAGCTTTTCCTCATTATTAGTAGTATTATTATATTTATCTGTAAATTGTATGCCTGCCAAAGAAAAAAAACTCAATATACTTTACTGTCTAAGAGGTTTGAAGTATAAACATTTTATGTGGGTATTTGTACACAGCATGCTGGTTGGTTTTTGTGGGAAACTACATTGCAGATATCCTGGTGGAAGTTTCTGTGCTTGTAATGCTATTTTCAGCTCTTAGGATCACTTTTTGCTTTACTTTATTTGTGGTTAAGGTGGTTCTCAATTTTGTTACTTTTGCTGAACTAGAAATTTATGTGAACCATAACTATATTTGAGAAACTTTTTGCTGCATTTAGGTCTCCTGGTGGGAATTTGTTATGGCAGCTGCAATAGTTTCTTTTAGATTTCCTCAGTCTATTTTTATTCCATGGTGAATGAATCTTATTAGTTGTCATGGATTATCAGAATGTACGAGAATGGCTTCACCAAAGATAGAATTATCTTGAATGCTTCAGATGATGTGCTGACTGTGGAAGCGAGGTCCAAGAAGGGTGACAAGCTACACAAGCGCAATATTCAGCAGAGTGATGGTGCCAAGTATATGTCATATTTTAAGGTCTGCAGCTGCTTTGATTGGTATAAATTGTAAGATTATATTGAGCAGGTGCTTTTTATTTTGATAAGTTATCTCCTTGGATTAGAATTTATCCTTTTTGGTATAGGATTAGTCATTAATTAAACTCTGATTATTTGACTCAAGCATGCAACTTCTGGAGGCTTCTTTTATGATTATTCCTAAGCTGAACCTTTGGCCAGATGCCTAGCTGATTGTTACTACTGAGATAGGGTTGTGTCATTACTGCTCTGTTATCTTGTCACTTTATAGCTTTTATACCAAATAAACTCTCTGCTTTGGGCCTTATGGCCATTTTACCATCGGGCAGGAACAATTACTATAGCATACTAGTGATGGCTAGCTTGTTTATCATGTCCTTCCATTATATTTCCTTAAACAAGGATTTCTTTAGTATCTATTACCATTCAGCCTTGTCTTTGCTCTCACATGGTCTGGCTGAGGTAATTACTTGTTATTTGCCTTTGATGTGTTTCAGATAAGCAAGAAGCAACATGAACTTATTAAGAATATGAAGCAGTCTGGTAGAAGCATTCAGTCTAGGTCTCTCATCCGTGTATTGGGTGACATTAATAGCTTGCATGTGCAACCATATGAAGTATTCATGGAAGAAGAACAGAGGAAGTTGCGTGAACATTGGTGAGTTTTGCAGCAAACAGTTCTTTCTTGAACTCTGAAAATTTTCATTATACCCCTGCTCAAAGTGAATTGTTGTTTAAGTAGGCTGAGATTGGCAAAGGAAGATCTCCCTGCAGCATATGCAAACTGGAGAGGAATACAGTTACAGAAATGGGAAATAACAAAGTCATTGGAGCAAGATATGAAAGAAAAACTAAATCTGGTGCTGGAGGTTTATTTCTCTGTCCTTTTCTCTCTTCTCTTCCCCATCTATGAGTATACTTTTGTTGCTTGCTTAACTGTTGTTTGTTTGGTATTCACCAAACTCATTGGATCTGTGTTTCTATTGTTATGTGTCTTTGAACATCTTCTATGCTGCTATAATATTTGATCTTTTTGTTGGAGTGTCAGGATGATGAGGAGGAAGATACTGGAAAGCTACACTGTCAGGATGACAATGTTGGTACAAACTTGGCTTTTCTAGATGTAGAGAAAGATCCCAAGAAGTTGCTTGAGGATCAGAAGGATACTGAAGCAACGGACAGTGAGTCTAGCATGGAAGAGAGGGAGTCAGTTCTGGCTTTTCCACAGAATCAGTCCCCGCAGCAGATTTGTTCTATTAATAGTGGCCATACATGCCACCATGTGGATATGGAGTCTGAAAACAATGAGAATCTCTCAAAATCAGATGATAGTTCTTCAGATGTATCTGAGTGCTTAGAGAATTTGAACACTGCAGATGCAACAGTTTGTCAGGACAATCCTGTCCCTTCTGCAGAAAATGTCTGGCCAGCAGATAGTATGCCACAATCTTACCGTGATTCTACTGCTGGCCACGAATACACATCTGCTAGTGGATTGCCACTTTCTCATCAAGCCAATGAAGACCACCAGAATGAAATGATTGATCTGGAACCAGACTTGCATGAAGAAAGTAATGGGAAGGTTTTGTTGCATGGACATTCTGAAGATGGTTCCTTTAGTTCTTATGCTAACCAAGACCAAAATGAGCTGCTTCAATCTTTCTTCAAGGATCAGGGAATGTTGTCGTATCATAGTGAGCAGAAACAGACAGGGCCAGATTTCCAGCCCCCAAAAAATCTGTTGATGGAAGATGGGCATTTTAATGGGCAATTTCAGGAGCTGTTGCAGTCCTCACTGCCATTAGAGGAGGGGCAAAAGAGGCAGAATGAGGTTTATATGCAACAAAACATGTCAGAAAACATTTATTCTGATGGGGTTAGATACTTGACACCAAGGCAAGAACACTTGCCTTCAGGACATATGCAGGATTGGGCTGTCGATCCCGCCTGCATGTCAGCGCCCTTCCAACATCAGTTGAATAGCGGAGAATTGTTGAGTCAAAACTGGTTTGCTGGAGAGCATCAAGTTCAAGTCCGTGGTGCATGGGCTGGTTCTGATGGATTTACTGGCCCAAGTCGGAGTATTGGAAGTGGAAGCAATGTAGATCAGAGCCTATTTAGTGTTCTATCTCAATGTAACCAACTTCATTCAAGCAGCCCTTATGAATCAATGGTGTCTACCGAGCAGTTCATACCGCAGAGGAACAATGGAATTAAGAGTGGAGGCACTACTGGAATAATTGGAAATAGTTTACAGCAAGCTGCTTATCCACTTGATTATATAGGTGGTCGTGATGCAACTACCTCACTGATGGCTGATGATATGGGATGGATGAGCTTGGCACATCAAAGTTCTGCTTTGCATGATCCAATGGGGAAACCATATTTGAGGTCATGGAATCAATAAGGGGCTCCTCTTTTTTTTTTTTTTTTGGATAGTGGAATTAATTGAAGGTTTAAAGTTTACTGGTCAAGAGCTGGCTTGGAGGATTGGAAGATATGCGGAAGGCAAACTGCATCTGATAGGGGTTTGTTTCTTATATAGTATTATTTTTAGAGGAATGGTAGAAGAGACTTCTAGGTTATTACTGCAGATTTGCAGTAGAGGAGTATACAAAGACTCAGATAGGTTTTTGTACATACCTATACAAAGAGCCAACCGAACTCAACACCTTTGTATATGCGTAGATGTTGGTGGGCTGGTGGGAGGTAAGTTGCCCTGGCATTTCATATTTGGTAGATTTACATATCACAGGACTCTCGTGGGGATTTTTTTTTTTTAAATATTCCTTTTTATCTCATGGACTCTGAACTATTTTCAATAATTTTGGACGTTCTAATTGCAACTCCTCTTCTGTGTGTCTTAGTTGAACAATGTGATTTTATGAGGTTGTTGTGAGTTGGCTGATAATACATGGAAAGGGCAGGCAGATAAATTGACTGTATCAGTCAAGTGTTGAAAATTTATACCTTGAGAATATAGTTGATATCGGATTTCAAAGCTTTAAAGTTATGAAGATTACAGGTACTTTATCAAATAATTTCTGGTATATTTGAATTGGTCCCGGCATCCCTCCCTCGCTCACAACATGCACGGGCCGACAATTTCTAAGGAGTAGAAAGGTTGGAGTCATTTTTACTACAATTGTTTGGTCTTGGCCGGTGCCCCAGCGCGGGTCCTCCGTCTTCGTATCGCATCGCATGTGAGGAATTTTTATTTTTTAACTTTTCTCCTTGAAACTTTAAAGAAACAAAGAAGAAAAAAAAGGTTTGAGAAAATCTGAAGATGGTTCAGCAGCGCCAGGGCGAGGGAGGTTGCGGTAACTGAAACAAGGAGGAGAGAGGAGATATTTGGATTTATTACTAAATAAATAAATAATAAATAATAAATAATAAATGAATACAATTACAATTATTATTAAAATAAAAGAGTGCAATTAAATTAATTAGTGGTAATATTTAAAGCTTGGCAAATAGGCAGCCGTAAACAGATTAGGTAAATTCAGTGGCGGGATAAGTTACCTCACCTTGTCCTTTTGCCTTGTATCCAAAGCCATGAATCTCATAAATACTAGTACAAAATATGCCATTTCTTTCTACTCCCAGTTTCTTCTTCATCCTCGGTTTTCGCCGTTGAATCAAAATATGGACAACAAAAACAAGGAAGTGATTCGATTAGAGCGTGAATCCGTCATCCCCATTCTGAAGCCCAAGCTCATCATGACTTTGGCCAACCTCATTAGTATTCACTTCTCCTTTTCCTCGTCTCTTCTGGGTCTTTTTTTCTTTTTGTTTCCCTAAAAATTGGATTGCTTTGTCCTAATCGCTCTTCTCGCTTACCCAATTTGTTATTTATAAGCTTTAAACGTGCTTGAATTAGTAGATGCAATGCAATAAACAGCATTGAAGACTCCACCTTATCAGTTTCAATTTTGGAATGTAGTTTCTAGATGGAACCATCCTCTCCCCTACTCACAATTATGTGTTTCACATGCGTCCTCCTCCTTTTATTTGAGTTGCTCAATCGGTCTCTGTATGTGTTTTTTTTTTTTTTTTGTAACACTATAGCTGCATGGCATTATCTCCTTCCTCTTTAAGTCTTAACTGTTTTCATGTGTTACAGAACATAGCTCAGATCGGGCTGAGTTTCTAAAGTTCTGCAAGAGAGTGGAGTACACAATTCGAGCCTGGTATCTTCTTCAGTTTGAGGATTTGATGGTGTTCTTCTCTTCTTTACAAACATAACCCTTCAAGCATTTCTCTTCCTTTTTCTTGCTTTTTTAGTTCTAATTTTAGTTTAATTTATGTTCGCAGCAATTATACTCCCTCTTTGATCCTGTATATGGGGCTCAGAAATTGCAGCAGCAGAATTTATCTCCTGAAGAAGTTGATGTACTTGAACAGAATTTCTTGACATATTTGTTTCAGGTATTCCTCTTCTTGTTGTGTCTAAGAGTGTCTCTGATGCTTTTCCAAACATTACTAAAATTGAATCCAGCAACGCAATATATGCAACCTTTGTCATCTATCAATTTATCATCATTTGGAAGTTGAAATCCCCTTCTTTGGTGTACAGATGATGGAGAAGAGTAATTTTAAGACAACTACAAATGAGGAGATCGAAGTTGCACTTGCAGGGCAATATCTTCTTAATCTTCCCATAACAGTTGATGAATCTAAGGTCATCTGCTACTTCATGTGTTATGCATATAATCATGGCCAATTATTAAGTCTTTATTTGAATACATAATGTGGATTCTGTTTTTCTTTCTAATTCAAATTTGTTATCTTGACATTTTGTTTTCACTGAGTGCAGATTGACAAGACACTTCTGAAAAGATATATTTCAGAGCATCCCCAAGAAAACCTTCCAGATTTTGCTGTTAAGGTTGTGATCACAATTAGCATAGAAATTGCAGCATTCTTGGTGTTGTTTCTAATAATCTACTAATAGGGCAAAGGCTCTCTTTTCTTGAGTTTGACATATGACAAAATTGATAATGCTGAAACCAAAAGGATTTTGGTTTTGAACTTATTCTCTTAATTGAGCCTTTATTTTGCACTAGTTTGTCTTTTCTCCTAGTATTTGTAGTTTGGTATTTGCAATGTGTCTGTACAATTAGATGGACCAGAGCCCAGAGGCTTGCTTTGGTTAATGACATAATCTTATGCATGAGACCAGTATCAGATGATTTTCTCAATTATTTTGCCCATGCCATCCTACATTAATCTAAACATGTAATAAATATTCATCAAATATGTTGCAAGTGCGAAACGAATTCAATACCATCAAATTAAGAAATTTTGGAAGTATATCAGTTTATGATATTCTTGCTCGTAGAATATTTGATTTAGCAGTATTTGTTGATTTTTCTCTCTCTCAAGCTAAGTATAAATCTTTTTGTCTTTAGTACATTATCTTCAGACGTGGGATAGGAATTGATCATACAACTGATTACTTTATCATGGAGAAAGTGGACATGATCATTGCACGTCTTTGGGCATTTCTTTTAAGGCTAACTAAGTGAGTATGTTTTGGACAATCATTACCTTTTATGAGTTGTTATGGTATATTCTTGGTGAAAGCACCTTTATATATTGTTGCTTAGAAGTAAATAGAAATTTTTTTTTTTTGGTGGCTAAGCATATAGAATGTAATTCAACGATTTTTCTCCTATTTAAAATATCTTGGAATTACTATGCTGGCAGATTGAGGTAATTTTCTGCCATTCTGCGGTCTTACTTGTTAGAGGTCCTAAATTGTTAACTTACTATGTAAAATATAGAGTTGGACATGAAATACTTTTAGTAACTATCGTATCTTACAAACTTGATTGCTTCATGCATATTATTTTTCTTTCTTTTAATGCATTCCTGGATATGGTCCTTGAAGGTTGGACAAACTTTTAAGCAGAAGATCAAGAGGACATCATAAGAAAGAGCCAAAGAAGGATGATGAAATTAACCCTGAAGCAGACAGTGAACATTTGTATGTTGAGCGGATCCGTCTTGAAAATATGGACCTAAGGTTGTTAATTGCCATCTTCATATGCTGTTATTTTGGAAGACTGTATTTATTGATGAACATACCTACCATCTATCTGGAGTATAGCATGCAGATTGAAGGATGCTTTCCATGCTATCATCTTTACATTTTGAATAAGTCCTGAACATTTATGAATTTCATGCAGTTAATTTTTTTTAGCTTGATGTTTGAGTTTAGTAATATCATTTGTTTCCTCTTAAATACGTGATCTGATTCTCTTATTTACATCATGTCATGTCCTGAGTTTTGGTGTTGTGGCTGCTCAATAACTTTCCTATTCTGTACTAAACCAGCATCAAGAACTTGGTGGGCAAGACTACAATCCAAGAACCTACTTTTGATAGGATAATTGTTGTTTACAGGTACTGCTTATTGCATCTTATCATACAAGTTTTCATTTTGATATTAAACAGAAACTTTCAATGATGTCTTTCTTGGCTAATTGATATGGATTTATTCAAAAGCCAGTCCCTTGGTCATTTTATGTTGCAAGGTTGAACATATTGATTATTGGAACAGTATTCTAAAAGGAGCCTCAGTTTCTTATCTCTTCATCCGGGGAGAATGATACTGTTCAAAAAGAAAAAAGAGAAAAGGGCACCATGACAGAAATTTTTATGGAGAAGATGCGTAAAAAGCATAGCTAATTTCATTTTATGGAGAAGATGCATGAAAATCATAGCTAATTTCATCTTCTTTTGGAAAAAAGTCTAAACTATTCTTGGACCTGTCGTCTTTCTAAATTAGTTTTACAAAACTCGTAAAGAGTAATTCATAGACATCTAAGAAGTATGGTGAATTTTCAGGAAAGCAAGCGCCAAACCAAATACAGAACGAGGAATATATGTAAAACATTTCAAAAATATTCCAATGGCAGATTTGGAAATAGTCCTTGTGAGTCTCTCTTAGCTCTTTCTGCTCAAAGTTTTATATGACGTGATCGTGTGTATGATTTCATTTTGTTCGGTCTTAACAGCCTGAAAAGAAAAATCCAGGATTAACTCCTATGGACTGGGTCAAGTTCCTTGTCTCTGCTATTGTTGGACTGGTCAGTGGAGCAATGACGTTTCTTACTCATCTATTCTTGTCTTTCCTCCCTTGTTTCTTCTCTGCCTGATTTTCATATTGATGGAATGCACTATTAACGTGCCTTTCTTCACAGGTTGCTGTATTTAGTTCTCTTGAAATGCCTAAAGCTGATCTGTGGGTCATTTTTGCCATTTTGTCAACTGTGATTGGTTACTGTGCTAAGACATATTTCACGTATGTTTTCCTTCGTCTTTGATTAATATGTAATATGTCATATGTTCTTTGCTATATTAATGTATGTGGGTCTTGGTGTTGATGGATCCATTCAGACAGTTAAACCAGTAAAGAGATACCTCTTCTTAATGCATTTCCTCCTTTTAATCCTATGGATAGTAAAGTTGCACTCCTACATGCCTCTGGCTGACTGTCTTGGCAGATATACTTGATTACTAGGTGCCTCTGTTTCTACCTGTGTTTCAAACTGTTTGAACTATTAATTTATATTATCATTTCTCATTTTTCCATGTAGGTTTCAAGCAAACATGGCTGCATATCAGAATTTAATAACACAGTCCATGTATGACAAACAACTTGATAGTGGAAGGGGCACTTTACTTCACTTATGTGATGATGTGATTCAACAGGAAGTAAGTTGCATTCTTTTCCTTCTCCATTTTTTCTTCATCTCTCTGTCAGAAAATTTAGTAGATTTTCCTGCCTAAAGCAATGAAAATGTGGTATATATTTTTCTCTGGTGATTACATATTTGAAGAGAAGCTTTCGTAGTTTTCAATTGCTGTATACCTTTAACCATTTAAGCCTTGATCTATTAGGTTAATTTATAAAAGATTAATTGACTTTAATTAAATCAGATTTTGCACTAATTAATAGGTTGGATAGTTGCCAAGCTTTGATATGCATAATATAGGAAATGATGAGTAGCATGGCGTCTGTCTTACTTTTGAATGAGAGTTAGTATGTTTTTTATCTTGTTTCTATTCCACTTTTTTCCTTCTGAAGGATAATCTTGTGTGCAGGTGAAGGAGGTAATCATCTCATTCTTTATACTAATGGAGCAAGGTAAAGCTACCAAGGAGGTATGCATCATCTTTTTTACTCCCTAAAATTTTTTCATTGTTTCTTGCTTTATTGTTGAATTTCTGTGTGGATATTCTTCTAGTGGAAAAAGTTTTTATGTGGATCCTTTTTAACATTGCATAACCTTTTAATAATTCGATATAGGATCTGGATCTACGGTGTGAGGAACTAATTAAAGAGGAGTTTGGAGAGAGCTGTAACTTTGACGTGGATGATGCAGTTACAAAGCTAGAGAAGTTGAAAATAGTTTCTCAGGTGAGGATCCTTATATTTCCTCCTTGATAAACTTGATTGTATTTGCATTGGTTGTATATATTCGATCGTTGGCTTTAAGTTAATGATTAGATTTCTTCTGGATAAATTTGTTTGTGAGTATAGAATGTTTTTGAATTCAGGATTCTATTGGACGATACAACTGTGTTGGATTGAAACGTGCTAATGAGATAATTGGTGTGACCACTGAGGAACTTGTGCTGATGGCAAGACAAGGTTCTATTTCAGCTTAATGTTTGCCTTGGTTGGTAAGTTGGGCGACTGTTCTCCAGATATGTATGTATTTGATTCATTTGTAAGCTGATGTTGACTTAATAGTGAAGTAATCTGCAGGTGATAATTCTACTCATATGGACGCACCTTTGCTCCAAGGTTTCATTCGGATGGAAGGCATCGACTTGTTCTTGCTGCTAGTTGTTTTTTTTTTTTTTTTGGTTTTCACTTGAGTAGTAGTGTGCTAATACAAGTAATAGTATTTACAATTACAAGCATTTTTTACGGCTTCTTGCTTAACTTGTGCTTGTAACTTTTCATTTAAAATCCTGCATGTAATTTTTTTTTGGAGTATAAAAGAAGGGTGTTGAGTTCTTTTGTTTTAATTTATGTAATCTCGGCCGGCCATCTTGTAAAGATTAAAATCAGGAAAATTAACACTAGTAATTGTTTTGTTGAAAATTTGAATTGGATTGGGATATGGAAAATGTATGTATATACTTGTACTAATAGTAATAGAGATGTGAGATACATATATAGGGAAGAATAGAATTGCAAGAGGCAGAAAAGTAAAATGAGTTGGCTAAGGAGTTGGCTAAGGTAAGCTTAGGGAGTAGGGACTCCAAGTCAAGTCCAAGTAGAGCAGCCAGCATCCATGGCTATTTGCCATTGACCACATAACTGCATGCGTACTTTCTCAGACGAAAAGTAAACACAATCGATGTGTTGTGCATCTTTGGCTTTGCAGAAGGTTACTGGCCTGTAAGTACACTTGGACGACCTGTTTGATTGCTTCCACATGATCAGATTATGCTCGTTAGGGGGAGCTGAAGACGGTTTAGCATTAATTTTAATCGGTGAAAGTGGGTACAAATATTCTCTTCTCGAGTACTATTATAAGCTGATACATTGATCCAAAGCCAAAAGCACTTGAATTATACAGTATGCATGCATGGTTCCAAATAAGTGTAAGGTTATTCTTCTGGGGCTCCTTCTCCTTGTAGGTTGAAATTCTTAACAATCTTTAGGGGATCTGCCCTAATTCAAATAGCTGCTTACTATTTAGCCCTTTTTCTTTCTAAACACACGCAATGTCCAATTCTCATTTTTGTCCTTCCTGGTCAATGCTGTTGTAGAGTAGACTGGTACATCTGAACAGGGCACAGGACTTTGTGCTTGAGCATTCTGACAGAGAAGCTGTTTGCAGATTCTTAATTTTTTAGTTATTAGACTTATCATATAGGATGATTTCTTCACCTCTTCTATATTCTTAGTGTTCTCAGCGGACATTTTACTTTTTGCATTTTGGGCTTTGCATCCATATATATATATATATATATATAATATCATGCATGCTAATGATTTCTGAAATTGCGTCTAGGTTTCAGCGAAACTAGGTTGACTGTCACGTGGATATGATATACAATTGGATAGTGTTTTTCTTTTAATATTTAAAGTCGTCAGATATTGAATTTTAATCACGTTTATTAATAGATCACATAACTCTTCTTCACTTATGTGAGGAGGTGATTCAACAGGAAGCAAGCAGTCATATGTACCTAGGCTACAAAATTTTAATTTGGGTGTGCAAATAAATAATTAGGAGAGCTGAAAATCATCTTTTACCAATACTATATACCTGAATGCTTATAGAACAACATAATTTCAAATGTGTAGGTAAAAGATGTACGCATTCACATTATCGTTCTAGTTCTGCACTTGCATGCAGATATTGAGAAAAGCTTGTACACTACTATTTTTTATTTTAATTTTTTTTTATCTCATTTGTTTATGTACATAAACTCATTGTTAAATAATTGTCTGTGTTTTGGTATATGTAGCTTTATGAAATTTGCAAACTTCTTATATATATACTGGCAAGTCAACCATGTTTTTCTCAATCATAGTTTATTACAGTTAACTGCTCACGCTACAGGCAGCTAATCTGAGTACAAAATGCCATCATATCAGATTCTAATGGAACATATTTACAAATAATTTTTTAGTGAAACAAATAACGAGTTATACAGTATAATGTCACCCCAAGATTACTGCATATCATACAATCCTGCTACTGATAATGAAGCAATCACATACATATTTTCATTTGAACTTAGGAGAAGTAACAAACCAACAGGCCATTTTTTGTAGCTGCAAAGTCCATTCGATATTTTCGTGACCTTTGATATCTCAACAACTATATGCCAATCAGCTCTGTAAAAAGAGATAAACAGATTAATTATGAAGGAACTTTATTCTCAAAATGAAAGATTTGTTTAAAGCAAGGAATAAAAAGCGATGGTATAATAGGCATGTTTTTTATAACCTTAGCCAGCGAGATAAAAGATATTAAATAATAGGATGCCGAGCCAGAGTGAAAATAGTGTTCCTTTCCAACGTCATCTGTAAACAATCCGAACCAGAAAATTATACTCTAGTGAAAGAATACAGTCAGAAGCAGATCTAACCTCAATAGGGAACGAGGTTGAACATAATATGTAAAAGGAGTATATAAAATACAGGAACTTTCCTAAAATTGTGTTTCGTTATTTAAAACTTCTAGCATGCCAGAATATTGGAAATTGATATAAAATTGGCATAACAAGAATTCTAATTGTGCATTACCTCATTTCAACATATGGAAGCAGAATAATCTGTAGACATAAGCTGCTTTGTGTTTTCTGTCAGCATTTTGTGACAGATTTTTTTTTTCAGGATTTCAACTGTTTCAATTTCTCAAGAACTTGCTTCATTGATGGCCGAACAGAAAGTGTCTCTGCTGTACAGGCATATGCAAGCCTTAGCATTCCCAAGAGATTCTCCCTAGGTCCAGTTTCCCACAGTTCAGCAGAGAATAGCTCAGATGGACGCCCCTCCTTGATCAGCAACTTGGTCCATTCAACAATATTGATTCCATTCCCGTACTCAGAAAATGATGGATCAAGGGACTTCTTCCCTGACAGTAATTCTAACAGTACAACACCAAAACTGTACACATCTGCCTTGTCAGAGACCCTGCATGTGGTTGCATATTCTGGTGCTACATAACCAAATGTGCCAGCAACATCTGTAGTGGCATGGGTCTCAGAAACTTCTAAAAGCCTAGCAAGCCCAAAGTCTGAGAGAAACGCATTAAGATTCTCATCAAGCAGAATATTGCTGGGCTTGATGTCTCGATGAACTATACGGGGAACACACGAGTAATGGAGGTAAGCAAGAGCCTGCGCTATGTCCATAGTTATCTTGTAGATCACTGACCACTGTACAAAATTTCCAGACTTGTCATGAATGAAAGTCTCAAGGTTTCCACCAGAAAGATAATTGTAAATTAAAAACATTTCATTTTCCCCAGCATAATACCCAATAAGAGTTACAAGGTTCTTATGTCGAATTCTTCCTAGCGTTCTTATCTCTGCATCAAACTGCTGAATGCCTTGAAATCGGCCAATATAAAGCCTCTTTACAGCTACATGATAGCCTGGGACCAACTCTGCTTTGTAAGTTGACCCAAATCCACCTGTACCAATAAGGTTTCGGATGCTAAAATTACCTGTAGCTCTTGCAACATTATCATAATTGAGTTCATTTGGAGCATCTGCAAAAGTCACAACCACTTTTCCTTTCAGGGCACCGTGTCTTCTAAACTTTCTCCTTCCAAATTGACAGATAATTACTATCACTGGAACCATACAAAGCAGAACAGAAGCAGAAGTTACCGCTGCAATTATAAAAGGTTTCAAATTTCTTCCTTTTGGAAATTTAGCCGGACCCATAGGCTTTTCCGGTGCTGCGGCAGAAGGTAAACACTGAGGCAAACGTTTATTACCTCTAAAAGCAGTACAATTACTCTGATGTTGGAGATTCGGTATTGGACCTGAAAAGTCGTTAAAAGATAGGTCCAGAACAGTCAGACGAGAAAGCAAAGAGAAAGAGGAGGGTATTTCCCCAGAAAGTCGATTGTGGTTGAGTAAAAGGGTTTCAAGATTTGTAGCATTTGTCAGGCTAGCAGGGATAGATCCTGTAAGAGAATTGTAGGAAAGATCAAGAAGCTTAAGAGAGGTCAATTGACCTAGTTCGGATGGAATTTCTCCAGTTAAACTGTTCTCTCCAAGAGATATCCATGTTAGATTCTTCAAATTCCCCAATTGATCTGGCAGAGATTCAGAGAGTCTATTTCCTCTTAAGTCAAGTAACTGAAGCATCATCAAGTTTCCAATACCAGGATCTATTGATCCCTCAATCTGATTATATGCTGCTTCAAACTCTGTTAACTGTAGACAATCAAGAAAAAATGCCTCCAGCATCCCACCTCCTATCTGGTTTGCACTCAAGTTAACCGAGACACTCTGCAGCTTATCGCAATCAGAAATTAGCTCTCCATAGGAAGACCCATTAAGCATGTTATTATTCAGTAACAACCTGTATGAAAATTTACTGTTACCTGCCGACAATTGATCTCCAATGGAGAACATAGGTAATGGACCAGTGAAACTATTCCAGCTTAGATCATGGATGATTGCGAAATTCTCATTCATCATCGATCCCATCTTAGGACCCCAAAAAGGAAGATTAGAATAGGCAAATGCAACCCATGTATCTTCCATATCAATGAAACTAGAATATAGACCATAAGAGACCATGCTCCCATCACAGCTGGCCTTCCTGTATCCTGGAATGTTACCAGAAATGTTATTTCTACTAACGTTCAAGTACGTGATACAAGGAACATGTAGCTGCCAGGGAAGGTATCCAAACAAAGCATTGGAACTCAAATCCAAGAAAGTAAGGTTTTTACACATCCCAATATTTTCTGGTACCACACCACCAAAATAATTCTGCCCCAAATTTAGGACTCTGAACGAACAAAATTCACTCCATATCTCAGGCAACCGCCCGACAAGATTTGCTCTTGGCGCCCACAAAACCTCCAAATTGGAAAGGAAAAACAGTTCAAAAGGAACACCCCCATCAAATGCATTGAATTCTCCTCGAAAACTGTCCATGGAGTTTGTTTTCTCATCAGGACCCAAATCTACCAAATTGGTTAACACTACAGCTGATAGTTTCTTACAATTTGCAATCTCCTTTGGAATTACATCTGTGAGACTGTTCCTAGATACATCCAAAACCCGAAGCTCTGTGATGTGGCCCATTTCAACCGGAATCTTGCCTTGTAAAACGTTGCCATCAAGCAATAAAGTCCTCAAATTCTTGCAATTTCCAATCTCAGGGGGAATATTTTCAACTAGATAGTTATTAGACAGCCTCAAGTGGATCAAAAATTCGCATCTACTTGAATTATCAACAGTAATCCTACCAGAAAGCAGATTATTCGACAAATCGATAACTATCAAGTTGGTGTTACCAATGAGTTTATCTGGTATATAACCGGAAAATGAGTTGAAGGACAAGTTCAGCACACTAAGATAGGGAAGAGAGCTTATCTGGAAAGGAATCTGGCCGGAAAAGTTGTTTCCTTGGAGTTCCAGAACCTCCAAAAACTTAAGGTCTCCAATATCTGCGGGGATCTCCCCGGAAAATCCACTTTGAGCAAGCGACAAAGCTGTTACTTTGTCAGAGAAGTTAGCGCACCTGACACCGTACCATGAGCAGTGGATTGTAGATGGGTTCCAGGTGGATAGAAGGTTTGAGGGGTCATTAAAGATAGACTTCTTCAAGCTGAGAAGAATAGCAGAGTCCGGGGTAGACTTTGAGAGTGTGAAGCTAAAGGAAAAGAGCAAAAACCAGAGAAATTCCATTTTGTTTTGTTTTGTGTGTGTTGGGCTCTTTCTGATTAGAAAGAAAGAAAGAAAAGGTTGCCGGTAAGGATTCGAAGGAAATGAAAAGTGTCGGGCAGGTACAGCAGAGAGTGAAAGTGAACGCTATGGCTTCATTGGAACCAAAACAAAGAACATTTTGTGTTCTTTCTTCATATTTGAATGAAAACCATATTGTTCTTATTTGTTTAAAGAAAAAAGAAAGAGGCCGGAAAGGAGAAGAAGAAGAAGACAAACAGAGCCGGCGTCAGGAACGGGTTTTCTACATGACTATTAGTACATACTTCTTTTTTAGTTTTGTTTTCTTGTTTGTCACATCTCTGGACTCACGTGCTGATATCAATATGCCCTGCAGGCTTAGATGACCGACTGACTAGTAGCACTCTGTGCTTTCTACTTTGTTTATTTTTCTTAATTGTTGAAATGAAAGACTAAATAAAGTTACATTGAATTATTGAATCAGTTATTAATTATGCTCTGCTGTCGGCTCCTTATGCCTTTGCAAGCTCTGTTTTTATCTGTCTGCTGTCATTAATCATACAAACCGATCCCTTGCCTTGTTGTCCTTTTCTTTTGCCAGAAACAGTGGCAGCAATCATCAATGATCCTTCAATTTGATACTCAATTGTATGTTTCAGTTTATACAATTTCTTTTTGTTTAGAAAAAAAAACAAAAAAAATTACAGCCTGCATGATTATCGGTTACTGTTTTTATACTTGAAACAAATTTAATGCTGCAACATTACAAAATTGAAAACCCATTTATGAAAGAAAATTATGAAAACCAACACAAAACGTACTAACGGGCCAAAATAAAAATACAAAACGTACTAGTACTTCAACAAAGTCATACTGCAGAAGGGAGGCAAGTGGTATTCCAAAAGCACCGGTAAACATTATGGATGATTAATGTTGTTAGTTACTCTCATGGGTTACATAGAAGAGACAAATCAAACAAGTGTTAGTGTTACTAGTACTTTGGTTAACAAAGACAAAATAATTAGGTAAGGAATGAGCATAGTTTTCAATTTGAAGGACTGGTGTTGGCAAATGAGGTGCCAATTTCTCAACAAAATTATAGATATTGCTTCACTTTTTCAAGATTAGGTTCATTTTATATAATATATATGTATGAATGACTTTAAGCTGAAGTTGGGTCTTTCTAAGATAGTTCACTTTGTCTCTTTTGCAAGTATTTCCCATTTGTTCGTCTGCAAGTCGGTGCTCCCCGTCATGGAAAAGGAAAAAAAAAACAATTTGGTTTCAGCTTAGGAATTTCACATGAGAATATAGCAGCATAAACAGAAAAGCTTGCCATTGCTCATTTCTAAGCATACAGACAACCAACAAATCATAACAAAAAGTAACCCCACTTACTGCAACAGTCACCATTCAAATCACTCCATTGAGTCCATTCTCCACCGTATCTTACGTTCTTTTGACTATATTTCTGACAAGGAAACTTTACCCCTTTCCACAACATTGACCCTTGGTAGAATTTCAGACAATTTTATAATTGTGTATCGTGGCGCACATGGCGTTATCTTCCAAACTTTTGAATCACTGAAATTAACTTTGAGGAATGGGCGGGGGGCTGCCGGGTGTAGGGGGAGGGGATAGAGAGCCCATGAAATTTGAACTCAAGACACGCCATAGGCGGTGGAACTAATGAAGCTTTAAATTAGTGTACTAATAATTATGGATGCTCGTTTGCTTGATTTAATGAAGAAACTTCCTTCCATGTGCAGTTGTGTATATTGCCTGCAACTGCATACATAACATCGTATTATATATTTATGGGGTAATGCGGAAGACAGGATTACGATTCCATTTCCATTTCCTTCTCTTTCCATTATTATACAGATAGTTATTTAAAAAAATATATATATATATGTATTATACAGATAGTTACTAGTATTGACTCGAAACAAAATGGGAGGACCCTGGAGACCTAATTAGAGACAGTGGGCCAAGAATCGAGCTGAATGTTTGTCAGTCATCAATTTTTTTTTTCTTTCATCAAGTTCCAACGAAATAATAATAATTTATTATATTATCAAATATCAAATATGCATATCGAGGCAGAAAAAGGGAAGAAACACAAGGTCGATTTGAAAGGCTGCAAAATATGTAGATGGAGTTTGATACCTTCGTTGTTTTGCGTTTTATATAGTTGTTATGTTTTGTTGTTGTTTTTTATTTTGATTTTGATTTTTTTAACGTGAATTAGAATTTAAAATATTGAGGAGGGTTATGCAAGTTGGTGTGTTTATTACATGCATTAGATTAGATTAGTGTGCCACTTTCAAAACTAGAGATCAAGAGCTACTATTGCTTTGAAATTAGAATATTTAGTTATACATGCGCCAACAAGAGCAAAGTGGAAGAAGAGAAGTTTCGGAATTGATGGATTAGCGACCCATTAATTAATTGCAAATTCCAAGCTCATGATGTCACTAGTGAGAAACGACTTGCCACGGGAATCAGCCTAAATATGGATATGCAGTTGTATATAGTATTAAGCAAACCGTTATTTTTCTATACAATTAAATAAACTACTAACAACATGCTCGTAGGTCTAAAATTTTTTTATTTATATCTAATAGTATTAAATTTAATGAATTAAATAAATATAATTTCATTTATAATTTTTGAATAAAAGCAATGATTATTGAAAATATATCAATTAATTTGTAAATAATATATGTATTTTATTCTCACAATTTGGCTAACAAATTTAAAAACAAATCCATTCTTTCAAATTTATTTTTCTAAATATAGTTAAAAAATGAAAATAAATGATTAAAAAAAGCTAAAACTAAACAAAAAATCCTAAGCAAAAAAAAAAAAAATCCAAATAGAGATATCACGTGAACACCTTCACTTAGGATGGTAACGAGTAAGGTAAGTGTGAGTTTTATATTCTTCCTCATTTTGACTTGATATTGGATTATTATTTCTTAGGTTATTATTTTTTTATACTTGATCCTGCTTTGACATTTATATGTATAATCTATATATGATCTAATTTGATTAAAAATTAATTTAATATTTATAATATTTATAAATTATAATTTTTTAATATATAATACATCTTAATTACATATAAATATAATATTTTATTAAATAAATATATTAAATAATATTTTTATTAATATAATATATATAAAAACCAAAACAAATAAATAAAATATATATTTATATATATATATATATATATAAATCCTGAGACAAAGCAAAACAAAGCATCTTAAATCTATCTTCTACTCGACTTCAATCTCTAGCAAAGAAAAATCATCCTATCTTAATTAAGTCATCGATTTACAAAAACTATCCCCATTAAATCGATGAATCTAAATCAATCAAATACGTCGATACAATAAAACTAATAATTAGAGGCAAAGAATGAGTGACACAAAATATTAGTTGCTAAAATAATGGATTAAAGATGTTTTCCTCCTCTTGATCTAGTGGTCGAGGAAGTTTTATGGGGACATAAATGTCTTGATTTTGAGCTAGTTAATCCTCCCCTTTTCTCCCTCGTAAGAACTGTCTTTTCTTGAAAAAAAAATAGATTAAAGGCATAAATCATATTTGACTTTAAATGTAATATTATTTACTTTTAATTTTCATCATTAGAGGCACATAAATTATTAAAAAGAAAAAATCTCAATCCAATATGAATTTTAAAATATACATCAATTAAATTGAAATTGAAATGAATCAAAACTCATTAAATATAAATTGTTTTATCATCTTATTTATATTAAAATTTATTAACAAAAAATCAAAAAATTAAAAGAAAAAGAAAGAATATAGATTTGGGAGAAAAGGTGAAGTGCCTCGTGGACACTCTAACCTTCCTTCAAGGTCTATAAATTATTAATTCATGGGTAATTCACTTAAATGCAACTAGTCTCTTCCGCAGCATATATTATTACCGGCCTTTTTTTAATACATATAGTGTTTTTATACATATTTCTTGAATGTGATAATTTAACACACTTAAAACATATATCTTTGTAAATAATTATTACATTAATTAAACAAAATTTAATAAGAGATATTATGTGATATCAATTACTAAAAAAATATTATATAACTTATAGATATAAAGCGTAAAGTTGCTATTATAATATAAACGAATGTTGAATTTTATTTTATATTATATTAAATTGAAACAACCTCAAATGAAATATGTCCCTTGTATGTATTTAATAGTGTAATTGAGCCAAATCGATACACTAAAATGTTCAAGCTCGAGCTAGACTCAAAAATCAAAGTTTAAAATTTGACTCGAATTTGATCGAATTCTATTTTTCAAATTCGAAATCGATTTGAGATAAAACCCAAGCCGAGCTCAAGCTCACTCAGCTCGAATCATGACAGAAATTTTGTGATTTCTGGATACCCAACCCTTTGTTTTCTCCACTTTGATAAAATTGGACATTGGAGGCCTTCCTTCCTCGAAGCCAAAAGATTTGAGGGCGTGATGTGCATAGACCAGGGCGAATATTTCACCCAAACATGTGAGAAATCTGTAGTATTTCAAAAGCTAAATAATGCACCATTTTATAATCATACCTGAAGAGGAAGCAACGAATCAACACCGTCTTGTCTATAAGTTGGCTGAGTAGAACTTTCCTCGCACATTTGGACTAGATTAGGACTCCCTGAAAAACATACTTCCTGAAACTTCCATTAACGTAAAAGAAAATAGATTCCAATATGCTGTATATAATTCTTTTTGCATTTTCAAAATCACATCAAGGTTTCATGAATCAGACAATCACATAAAATATAGATGGAGATACAATATCAACAAACCTAGATGAGATTCATAATCAACAAATCTAGAACGCCATTCTAACCCCTGGGACTCATCAATGTTAGAACCCTTCAATCCCTTCTCCTTTTCATTGTTCCCTTTAGAACCACTTTCAGACTCGTTATCAGATTCCAAACATATCAATCTGCATATTCCTGATAGGAAAATGATAAGCAAAAGGGCGAGTGCTGGAGACCCATTAACATTTATTTTTAACTAACAAAGGACTTTGAACAAAATCAAATACAAAATCAGATTATCATTTAAAATAAGCCAAAATTACCAACATTATATAATTTTCATTTCAAATTAAAATTAAAATGAATAATAAAATCCAAATTACAACCCTAACATTAAATCAAACTTCAACGAAAAACAAATGGAAGTAAAGGGGAAAAGAACAGACCAGAGAGCTTGTGATCTTCAAGTTGAGGATCCAAAACACTAATGGCAAGGCTAGCATTGGAGACCCTGACGACTGAAGGCTCGGACATTTTTGTAGCAAGATTGGATGAGTATTGGAGCGAGTTA